TGTGACATCTTGTGCTCAACTGGGTCCCTGACACTCTGACTCAGATGCATTGTCAGCGGTAGCTCAGAGATGGACGGCACCCTGCAGGTGTCTGCGTGTATTGTGGTTGCCTGCCTTTTGGTGTTACACGGTGTTTTCTATTAAAAATGTGAATTATTTGCCAGCATTAAAAATTACAGAGTTCCACATAACGCAGATTTCCAGCTCCTTTGGAAAACGAGGCAGTGCTGCTAAGGTGGAGCAGCATTCCCGCTTGGCAGGGACCGCCGGCCTCAGCGAGGGGCCTCCTCAGCCCCACCCATGGGATCCACTCCTTCCTGCGACCTGGTCCCTGGAGACTGGAGTTTACAACTCTGTGCCCTCCAAGCTCAGTTGACACTAACAACCTTCCCAAACTGCTCAGGGCCCACAGGGAAATGATGAAGAGCTTGGGTCTACCCACCAAACTTGGCAGGCGGCAGGAGAAGGTATTGTAATAAAATGTGTGTTTGTCTCTCTACATATTTCCTAATTGTAAGCAAATCACCAGGCTTTGTATCCCTTTGCCTAAAGGACTTGGGAGGGGGTGGGGAGGAGGGGGGACACAGAGAGCAAAGCAGCCTGAAATTAAAGCTGATCTGTACTAAAAACCTAGGCCCACTGAAGAGATGACAGGGCGTCCTGCAGAGGGAGGGGGGTGGGAGGGGGGCTTGGGGAGGTGGGGACGTGAGAGGGGGAGCCCCTGCCTGGGAAGGCCTGAGAGGCTGGGGCTCCTCCGGGCAGTCGGGCCCCCCACCACTCCATGGTAGCCCTTGGAGGTGGCCACAGGACAGCGTGGCCAGGAGGGCAGGACTCTGGCCCCAGAATCTCAGCACCATCCAAGACCCCATATCCCATGAAAGGCAGGAAGCAGGACCCGTGGGCTCCGAGGGACATGCTGATTTGACAATAGGTGTCATCCGGGACTTCCCTCTTAAAGCTTGGGGTTCTCATGCAACCTGGGAAGGGCAGGGACCCTCAAAATGGACTGAGGTGAAAGGGGTGGAGGACTGACACAGGCTACAGCAAGGGTGACCCTGGAGAAGATGCCAAGTGAAGGAGCCGTCACAAAAGACCACATACTGTGTGATCCCGCTTTTATGGACTGTCCAGCATAAGCAAAGCCATAGAGACAGGAAGCAGACTAGTGGTTGCCAGGGGCTGGGGAGGGGGGTGGGGAGGGACCGCCTGGTGGGCGCCGGGTTTCTTTTAGGGTGATGGAAACATTCTGGACTTAGATAGTGGTGACGGCTGCACGACATGGTGAGCCACATTAGAAGACACTGCAATGTGACTTCAAATAGAGCGGTGCATTTTGTTACATAAATTTTATCACAATCAAAACGTTTTTAAAAATCGGAGACGGGATTTTCTCTCACCAAATGGGATGGTGACCTAAAGTTAAAATTAAGTTGATTTAAAAGAAGAAAAGGTGCCCTAGCTGGCTTGGCTCCGCAGACTGAAGGGTCATGGGTTTGATTCCGGTCAAGGGCACGTTCCTTGGTTGCGGGCTCCATCCCTGGCCCCAGTCGGGGGAGGTGTGGGGTGTGGGGCGTGGGGGAGGTGTGGGAGGCAACCAATTGATGTGTCTCTCTCACATCAATGTTTCTCTCTCCCTTCCACTCTTTCTAAAAATCAATGGAAAAATATCCTTGGGTGAGGATATTAATAAAAAAAGGGGGGGGGGGAAAGACTAGAAAAAGGAATGTTGGTATTTTTCCTTTGAATGAATGAATTCTTATTACCCAACTCTAAGAAAAGGAGACTGAGTCAATATCCTGAGACAGGGTCACACGGGTTTACCTGGGATGGAGCCATCTAGAGAAAGGGGCATGAGGTGCGTCGGAAAGTGGTGAAAAACCATGCCCAGCGGACAAAGGGAAGGGTGGTGCTGGCCAGGGAAAGTGTGAGCTGTTCCCAGACCTCTGCTTCTTAAGCTGGGAGAGCATACCCCAACTCTGATCAAGTATCTGTTAGGCCTCCTTACCAGTTATGTGATCTGGGGTTCCCTGGGAAATTTTGGTGTCTCGTGGAAGAACCAAAGGATCTGATAGCAGAGGATTTGGTTCCTGCTCCACCCTCGTCAGACGAAACTGAGTGCCCACCAGGTGGGCAGCACAGGCTGCTTGCTCCTAGGGCACAGCGGCCACAGCCTTGCCACCCACATGCCCGAGGAGGGCCAGCTCAAAAACTGTGTGCTCTCTCAGAGGCAGGGCAGGGTGCCTGGGGGGGTTTCACCCTCTAGCCTCTCTTGGTGACTGCAGCAGCCCCTTCGATTTACTAGTAGACAGCCCCGATTGCCATTGTCTTAGCTGGGGTTTCACCAGAGCAGACCCTGGCCTGGGGATTAAGTGCAAGCAGTTTGTCTGGGAAGTGATCCCAGGAAGCTTTGGTGGGAGCAGGGAAGCCCATAAGGGCACGTGAGGACTCTGGGAGCTCAGTCCTTACCGCTGATCAGGTCCTCAGGGCTGCGGATCAGCCCCTGGGATGCTGCTAAGGTCAGGGCCACCACCAGGGCTTAGGTACTACGTGTTGTTACTGCTTAGCTCCACTGGTTACTGCAGGAGCCTCCTCCCTGTCCTGCCACCCTCAGCCTTGCACCTGATTCCACAGTTGCTGTTTCTGAAGCATGTGGCGATCAGGACATGCCCTGCTCCGATGCCTTAGATGCTTCCGTATGTCGATGTGACCACATCTGGAGCTTTAGGTCCTGTGTTCCAACCAGTGGGTAGAGGCAGGGGATATCGCAGTGCCTGCCCCCACGCAGCTGACCATCTGGCTGGGGAGATGAGCAGTGACAACAGGGTGTGGTCTGGGCTATGGTTGGAAAGGGAGAGGCTGTCCTAGGAACCCAAAGGACAGGTGCTAGACACAGTCTTGAGTCACAGAAGCTTTTGATGTAGAAACTGTTGGTTGAGCATGGGATCCCTTCTCCCCTCCTTGCTTAACAGATCTCTGCATTTGGGGGAGTGGCAATGACTCTCCCTAAACACCCCACGCTCCCCAGACTTCCTGGCTGATAGAAGCGGTCAGTGAGCGATAAGAGGAAGTTGCTGGGTTTCCAGAAAAGCTCTGGTACCAGGTGAGATGGCTGGAACTACAGTGGCCATATTGTGACTATGAGGGAATCTTGAAGATGGATGTACATGCTAGGGATGATGAGCAGAAAGAGAGGAGCCTGGGTCTCTGAAGACCTCTGAGCTCTCAACTCAGTCCTGAACTGACCACCTCCAGACTTAAAATATATCTATATCTATATCTCTATCTATCTATCTATCTATCTATCTATATCTATCTATCTATCTATCTATCTATCTATATATTTCAGAGAGGAAGGGAGACGGAGAGTGAGATAGAAAGGTCAGTGATGAGAGAGAATCATTGGTCAGCTGCCTCCTCCATGCCCCTCACTGGGGATTGAGCCCGCAACCCAGGCACGTGCCCTTGACAGGAATTAAACCCAGGACCCTTCAGTCCGCAGGCCGATATTCCATCCACTGAGCCAAACCAACCAGGGCCAGACTTCTTTTATGAGAGAAAAAGTCAACTTTTTCCTACTTTAGCCGCTGTTACTGGGGTTTTCTCTTATTGTCTGCTGCCCCTAATTGAATGAATGCAGTGTCCTAGGATGTGCAATCTGCAGCATTAGCGGAAGTTAGAGAGGCAAACAGGGATTCCAGGGGCTGCAGGGAGGGTTGAGAAGGCCCAGGAGGAAACGTGTTTGGGGCAGAGGGGAGAGTGTTCAAAGACCGGAGGAAAGACAGAACAGTGGGGTGTGTCCGGGGCCAGCAGAGAAGGGGTAGAGGAGATGGAGCCTGAAATGCCAGCAGGACTAGGACCCTGAGGGACTTTGCAGCCTGGTAACCCACAGGCAGAGGGAGCCCAGACACTGGTGAGGTTTTCACTTTAGGAAGATCCCTTGGTGCCCAGACAGAGGGGCTGGATTTGAGGGAAGAAGAGTTGACGACACCTTATGAGGCTGCTGCTGTGGTCAGATAGATGAAATTGGTTTGCACTCGGCCAGTGGCTGTAGGAACAGAAAGAAATGGGCCGACCCGACGTTAAAAGGGAGAATTCCTCGTTGTTGATGGGTGGTTGGATGTGCGGGGAGAGAGCAGGAGGAGCTGAGGACCAGGAGCCACAGATGAGATAGGAAACAGGTGAGAAGTTCAGGGCTGGAGGCCTGCAGCTGGAGGCGAGGCTGAGCCGGGAAGGAGTGGGGGGTGGGGAAGGAGCCCGGGCCTGGGCGCATGAGAGCGGCCACCCACACACTTGATGGTGCCGCCTTCAGAATTGCCCTTGGCCTCTTTAATTCCAGTTCTCAATCTAAACCGGGGCTGTTGTCCGCTAATTTTATTTATTTTTATTATCTTTAAAAATACGTATTTTTATTAATTTCAGAGAGGAAGGGAGAGGGGGAGAGAGAGAAACATCAATGATGAGAGGGAACCATTGATCAGCTGCCTCCTGCACACCCCGCACTGGGAATCGACCGAAACCCCAGCATGTGTCCTTGACATGATTCGAACCCGGGACCCTTCAGTCCGCAGGCCGACGCTCTATCCACTGCGCCAAACCGGCGAGGGCTCGTCAGCGGATTCATAAAAGTTCCTGGTGCTTGGTGCAATGTTACCGAGTCTGAAGTGCTGCTCCCCGGGTCCCCTCCAACCCCCGCACCTTCCTCTGTCAAGGGTCGGGGCCAAGTCCCAGCCGCGCCCTCTGCTCAGGCGCCGGGACAGCCCTGAGGAAAGCCCCTCACCGTAGAGCCGCTCCGGCCCCGAAACTTCTCATCCGTTTTGATGGAGCCGAACGGGAAGGAGGCTGGGGCGGGGCTGGCTGCGAAGCCAGGTGTCCCGGGTTAGGATCCTCGCTCCCCGTCGGCAGCACCTGGTCTCCGGCCGCGGCCCGGCTGCGGGCGGGGTGTCCCTGCTCCTCCCCACCCCCCGGCGCGCCCTCCCGGCTCCTCCCCGCCCTCCCGCCCGCGGTGCGCGGAGGCTGCGGCGCGCAGGGCAGGCGAGTGCCGGGCAGCGGCCACCGGGCGCAGCGGGCCGCGGGGAGCCGGCCGAGCCCCTGCCTGCGAGCCGCGGCCTCGCCCGCCGAGGTCGGCCTGGGGGGCCCGCAGGGCACGCGGAGCGCCGAGTGCGCGTGGGGCTGGGCCCCGCACCCGGGCGCAGGAGCGCGGGCGCGGCGGGGCGGAGCGCCGGGCATGGAGCCGGCCCGAGAGCCCCCCGCGCGGGCCCGGCCGCCGCCGCCCCCCGCCGCCCGCCCCGCGCCCGCCCCCACCGCGCCCAGGCCGCGCTCGCCGGCGGAGGCGGAGGCCCGCGGCCCCGAGGGGCTGCTGCGGCGATCGGGCTCCGGCTACGAGGGCAGCACCAGCTGGAAGGCGGCCTTGGAGGGTAAGGTGCAGCGGCCTCATGCCCTGACCCGGGACCGGGGACCGGGAAGGCGCGGAGAGTCACCTTGGCTGGTGTCCCGTAAGGGGGTGGGGGTGGGGCGGCGAGCGGGACTCTGGAAAACGGGGGGTTGGCTTGGGGCAATTAGATGACACGCTGGGGGGAGAGGGGGTAACTGGGGACCACCCATAGGTACAGCCTGGACCCTGTCTGCCGCTCACTCACTCTGACCTTGGGAGCAGGCTCCACACCCGGAGCCTCAGCTTCCTCCTGAGTGTCTGGTCCTCGCCTGGGGGCAGGAGGGGTGCTTGACTGTCGGTGGCAGTGGAAATGCTTTGGGCAAAGCGAGGGAAGCTGTAGGCCCCAGAGGTGTTGCCATTGTCAGGGGGCACCTGGTGGGGACCGGCCACTCGGGAGGGAGAGGTGGAGGAGGACCCTGGCTGGCCCAGGGCCGGTGAGCCAGGTGGAAAACAGATTCCATGCTCATGAGTTCTAGAAAACTTGTGTTGGCCACTGGTGCCGTGTGCCGTGGAGACGCCGGAGTTGGCAGGACCGAGGACCTGCCTTCAGGAGGCTTCTCACACACCCCACACCCAGTTCCAGGGCGAGGCCCGGGCAGCGGTACCCGGGGAAGCCCAGAGTCCGGCTCACCCAGCCCTTAGGGAGGGCGAGTCAGAAAGGAGAGCTTCCTGGGGTAGGTGGCCTCTCAGGAGACTGGGGAGGAGGAGGAGGGCTGCCAGGCGCAAGGAGTGACATGGTCAGGGGCCAGGTGGCCAGAGCCAGCCTGTCCCTTGTGGGGAACTGAACTCATGAACACCAGGAATGGGGAGGGGCCGGGAGGGATGAGCCTGGAGGACGGAGCCAAAGAGCTTGAACTTTGTCTGAAGGAGCCATAGAGAGATTTAAAGCACAGAGTGAGACAGTGGGTTTGTTCTTGGAAAAGCAGCGGTGTCGAAGGGGGGTTAGACCTAGACCAGGTCAGTGAGGAAAGTGGGCAGTGGTGGGGTGGGGCGCGCAGACCATAACCAGCACCTGGCAGGGCAAGTGGCTTGTGGAGGAGCGGGAGGTGGGGATCTACATGTCAGTGTTTGGCCCGAAGGCTGGTGAACGGGGGTGCAGACTCTGGAGGGGAAGGCTGGTGCCTGGGTGGTGATTTGGGACAAAGGAGGCAAAGATGTTGGCTCTTGGAGCTGCAGGCTGAGGAGAGCTGAGTGGGATCGCGGCGGGCAAACCTCTCTCTCTGAAATAGTCTCCAGGTGGTAGCATTGCTGGATTTGCCTGTGACCCTCCCCTCTCCGCTTCCCTCCTGCCTACCGTATTTCCTGTAGTTGTTCACTCCTCTTGCCTGTATTTCTTCATTCATTCATTCATTTGCAAGATTTCTGCAGGGTCTGTCCCAAGCTAACTCTAACCCCCAATGGTTAGGGTCATTTCAGGGTGGCGCGGTCTCCTTCAATGCTTGGAGCTTACCTCTGCTTCCTACTCCCAGCTGTGGCTGGGCCAACCACCTGTAAGTGAGGCAGGAAATAGCCCAGCATCTCTCTTGAGACACTGGGTCTTCCAGCCCCTGGGGAGCCCACTCCCTGCTTAGTGCCTTACTTTCTGCCCAGCCTTGTCTCCGTGTCCTGGTCTGGCTCCCTACCTGGCCTGTCTCTGTGTCTCATGCTCCCTCTGGCACTGCCTCCTCCAGCGGCTCCCCCAGCATCAGCCCCTCCCTTGATGCCTATGGTCCCTGGGGGCTCAGCATCTGGGGCCTATGGACTTTCCCACAGGTGTTTTAGGATCCGCAGTCTGAGTCCCTGTGAGGGGCCTCCCCACCCCCGCCAGTCCTCTGAGGGTCTCCTGGGTGCTCCCTGGGTGCCCCATCTCCTGTCAGAAGAGGGGAGCTTGAGGACCAGGCTGGGTGCTCTCCAGGGTGCTGCCGTGTAGGCCCAGGGCCAGCCTTTAGTGCACTGCTCTCCCACAGCTGTTCCCTCGCCCGCTCCTTGCACAAACATTGATGGGGTGCCCACATAGTCCAGACACAGCGCTGGGCACTGGGAACACACCTGCCCTTGAACAGTCACAGGACTGGGGCTGAGGCAGCCTGATGTGTCTGGAGTCAGGTTAACCCAAACCCCGGGTTATCAGGTTTTTGAACTTGTGTGAGCCTCAATTTCCTCATCTGCCAAGCTAGATGATAATTTCTGCCTCTTCGGGCTACACAGACAGGTGCTGGGGTGTGGGCCCAGGTGCTCCTCCCTAGACGTGGGGAGTCCCGAAGGGGAGCTCAATTAAAATCCTTTGACTGCTGGTCTGCTAATCTTGAGTCCACTCCCCACCCCAAACTGGAGTCCATGTAATGGGCCCAGTCCGTGGACACTGGCCGCACCCGTGATGGGTGAGGGGTCTGCCACTTCTGGGGTCCAAGGGTTTTGTAGCTTCTGCTTAGACAAGCACATCTGGAAAAAAACTGGAGACTTCTTGACTTGACCAAGTTGAACACTCAGGGGACCTGTGCTCCTTTTTTGCCATGAGCTAAACAGACACCTACTACATGCCGGACACTTTGCTGCAGGCTGTCCCAGCAGCTGTCTCATTTGATCCTCATTTCTCCCCTTGCAGGGGCTTGGTGAGTGTCATCTCTAGTTGATAGAGGAGGAAACAGACTCAGAGCAGCCATGTGTGTTGCCCAAGGACACGTGTTGGTTGCTCACACATGAAACCTCTGTCGGGTTTGCCATAGGGTCCAGTGAAAGCTCTTACACGGACCTCGAGGACCAAGCACCTTGGGCGTGGTGAGGCGAATTCGACAGAAACAAATTGTGCTTTGGGCGCAACTCACTCTCCTCTTCAAGCTCCTCAGACGACCTGCCACCTCCAGCACAGAAGGGTTAACGTGAAACGGAGAGTTTCTTAAGTCCCATGGTTGGGAATAGAGCCCAGGTCTTCAAGACTTTCCTTAGACCAACAATTAGCTTTATAAATAGAAAGCCAGTCGGAACTTCTTGATCAAATCTTCTCTCTCTGTGGATGTTAACCTTCCCTTCCACTCCAGCCTTAGGAGGGAGGCTGGAAAAGGTGACCCAGAGCTCTGGCCTGGGTTCTGGAGAGACTGGAGGTGATCTGAGATGGGGATGTATCTGGCCTTGGGGGTGGGAGTGGGGGAAGGGGACTGGGGCACGGGAGGGGGGACAGAGTGATTCTGCAAATCTCAGGCCATAGATTTTTCAGTGCTCACCAATTCTGAATTTTTAATGTTGAAAGTTCCTTGATTATGCATAAACCCACAACTTCCTGATCCAAACCACACATGCATTTAGCAAAGCCTCTTAAAAACTTAAAAATTACCAAACTCTACATTGGATAGTTTTGAACAGTCAAGATTATGCTCGCCAGGTTGTGGCCCTGACAGCTCAGAGACTCCGCTGTGAGGCTCTTGGGGGCTGTAGGTGTGCGGGTGATGGGAGATTTGTCGGGGCTTGGAAGCCAGCTTGTTTTTCAGTTGTTCCTCTAACATTAGGCGAAGTCATATACATTCATAAACATAAATAAACTGCACCCCAATAAAGGCCATTGCACTGAAGGAAGGATTGCTGAGTTAGACATTTGCTTATGGCTTGAATCGTATCCCCCAAAGAGATATGTTGAAGTCCTCACCCCCAGAACCTCAGAATATGACTTTATTTGGAAATATGGGCATTGCAGGTATTAGTTAAGATGTGGGCATACAGGGGTAGGGTGGTCTCCTAATCCAATGTGACTGGTGTCCTTATAAGAAGACAGTCACATGAAGACGAAGATCCCATTGGAGACAGCCATGTGACAGTGAAGGCAGAGATGGGAGTGATCCGTCTGCGAGCCAAGGAACCCTCGAGATCGCCAGCACACCACCAGAAGCTGGAAGGAGCCACCAGGTTTCAGAGGGAGCACGGCCCTGCTGACACCTTGACTGTGGGCTTCTGGCCTCCAGACTGAGCGACAATACATTCCTGGTGTTTTAAGCCACCTAGTGTGTGGTACTTTGTCACATCAGCCGTGGGAAATGAGTACAACGTTGTCTTGGATTGTCCAGCAGAACCGTCCTGTGCGAGGCAGGCTCCCTCACATGAACTCTCTGTGTCCTCAGGGCGGCGTCCAGAGCTGTTTTCCCAGGAGGGAGTGGGACTCCTTGGTTCTGGTGATGTCGGAGACACACAGATGCCCCTTTCCCAGAGAGCAGGTGCACCTGCGTCCTTTCCTACAAACTCACTTCAGTTTTAGGCTGACGAAGGACATTGCCATTCAGTGTAGCTAAGTTCCCCTGTGCCCGTGGGTGCTCTGTGACATGCAAGGCAGTGGCTTAGCCCTGTTACAGGGACTCCAAAGGCAAGTAGAACACAGCTCTTACCCTAAAGGAGCCCATGGGCTTATTACTACCACCACCACCACCACCACCACCACCATCATCACCATCACCATCATCACCATCATCACCATCACCATCACCATCACCATCACCATCACCATCACCACCATCACCATCACCACCACCACCACCATCACCACCACCACCATCACCATCACCACCACCACCACCATCACCATCACCATCACCATCACCATCCACCACCACCACCACCACCACCATCACCATCACCACCACCATCACCATCACCATCACCATCACCATCATCATCACCACCACCATCATCATCACCATCACCATCACCACCACCATCACCACCACCATCACCATCACCATCACCATCACCATCACCACCACCACCACCACCACCACCATCACCACCACCACCACCACCACCATCACCATCACCATCACCATCCACCACCACCATCACCACCACCATCACCATCACCATCACCATCACCATCACCACCACCACCACCACCACCACCATCACCACCACCACCACCACCACCATCACCATCACCATCACCATCACCATCACCACCACCATCACCATCATCATCACCATTACCATCACCACCACCATCACCACCACCACCACCATCACCATCACCATCACCATCATCATCACCACCACCACGATCATCATCATCATCACCATTGCCACCACCACCACCACCATCATCATCACCATCATCATCATCTCCATCACCATCATCTCCATCACCATCATCACCACCACCATCACCACCACCATCACCACCACCACCACCACCACCATCATCACCATCATCACCACCATCACCATAATCATCATCATATCTCTGACTATTGAAGTAGCTTCCATATCAGACATTGTTCTATGTGCCATACATTTGAATTCTCGTAAAATCCTAAGAGGCAGATACTACTATTACTTCATTTTTATAGATGAGGAAAATGAAGTAAATAGAAGCAAAGTAACTTTGCCAAGCTACTCAGTCATCTAGAAAGTGGCAGAGCCGGGATTTGAACCCAGGCGAGATGGGTTAAGACACCCTGCTCTGATCCTCCATGCACAAAGGGTTACACAGCCAGCATTAGAGAAGAGGGTGGAGAGGCAGGATACATACAGCCCGGTGGCGACAGGCAGCTGTCCTGCAGGGGGAGCCGCCCGATGACAGGCTGCCCGTGGGGAGACAGAGCAGACACAGAAAGCCCAGCCCTGGGGGGCAGGGGGAGCTCCCCATCTCACCGAGCCTGGAGCCACCCGCCTCTGGACTCCTGGTCACCTGCCAGCATCAACCTTGCTCATAGGAAGGACTCCAAAATGTTTGCTGGACTTTCAGAGGAAGGTGGCAGCCTGAACACGTGCATTTACTCTTTCCTTTCTGAAGCCCGCTCCTGCAGCAGTAAAGGAATGTTCAAAAGGCCACAAGGCCCACAGGAACCGGAGAGGCCACGATAGCAGTACACTTGGGAGCTGGGGAGCAACGAGAGGGACCTGACTGCACCGGCAGAGGACCCACCCAAGTGACCCAGGGATGGGGGCACGGTCATCGCGGTGGTTGGAAACAGGACTGTGGATCGTTCCTTTAGGAGGATTTAGACCCCCGGCCCTGGCCCACTCTGTACAGCTTTCCAGCCCCGGCAGGAGCCGAGGGCAAGTCTAGGGGGAGAGGGCCTCTAACACCAACACATTAGAGAACAAGCAGTTAAGGTGACGTTTACATAGCGAACGTGCAGTGCAGCCTCCCAGTCGCAGCTCCTGGCCAAGTCCCTCCAGAGAGAAAACAGAAAAGCCTTCTCCAGGGACCGACCCACCCGAGAGGAAGAAGCCCAAGGAGGTCAGTGCGGAGCCTGGAGGGTCAGCCCAGCTGGACCAGCTGCTGTGAACCCCCCGCCCTCCTCCCCCCAACACACAGCTACCAAGCCCCTCCCATGGTCTCAGGGGCACCGGCGAACTCTCTAGTCCTCCTGCCTTAACCAGGGACGAATAACCAGGGCTCTAATAAGCAGAAAAAAAACAACACGTTGGGGGACACAGCGACTTTCTACTCCCCCCGCCTCCCCAGTAATACCCTCAGACAGCTGAGAGGAAGGGTTGCATCACTAAAGTAAGAGCAGGGTGTTTTAAGAGGAATATTCAGAGAACAGCAGCCTCTAAGCCAAAAACAAACAAAAAACTTTGGAGATTGAAAATAATCGTAGAAATGAAAAAATTCAACCAAGGGTAGGAAGGTAAAGTTGAAAAAAATCTTCCAGGAAGTAGAGCAAGAAGGCAAAGAGATATTGGATAAGGGAGAGGGAGAAGAGAGAGAAACAAAACATTGGTCCAGGAGGCCCAGCATTTCTCAAGCCTTTGTAAGGACAACACAAGTGAATTACTAGAAACATGACCCTGCTGGGGGTGTCACGGCATGTTAAACTGCTGTGAAAGTTCTAGGTGCTTCTCAGTTTTGGTGCTCATCTCATCATGGAGGAATCACGGTGTACAGACCAGCACCCATCTGTGGAGGTGCTGCTTCCAGCTATGTTCATTCATACCGTTGGTTTTAAAAAATTGCTTAAAAATAAAAAAGGGAGTTCTCACTACTAGGATGGCTATAATAATAATTAAAAAAGGAAACTAGCAAGTGTTGGCAAGGTGGTGGAGACACTAGGACACTTGTGCATTGCTGGTGGGAAAGTAAAATGGTGCAGCCTCTGTGAAAACAGTCTGGTGGTTCCTCAAAAAGTTACCCATAAAATTACCATATGACCCAGCAATTCTGCTCCTAAGTGTTTACCCAAAAGAACTGAAAACAGGGACTCAAGCAGATACTTGTATGTCAATGTTTATTGCAGCATTATTCACAATAGACAAAAAGTGGAAACAACCCAAGTGTCAATCAACAAATGAATGGATAAACAAAGTGTATGTATTCATATAATAGACTATTATTCAGCCATAAAAAAGAACGAAATTCTGATACAACATGGATGCTACAACATGGATGAATCTTGAAATCATTATGCAGTATTAAATAAGTCAGACACAAAAGAACAAATATTGTATGATTCTACTTAAATGAAATATCTAGAATAGTCAAATTCAGAGATGGAAAGTAGGTTAGAGGTTACCAGGCTCTGGGGGAGGTGGGAATGGGGAGTTAATGCTTAATTGGTACGGAGTTTCTATTTGTGGTGATGGAAAACCTTTGCAAACGGACAGTGGGGATGGTTGCACACTATTGGCTATGCAATTAATGCCACTAATTGTACACTTAAAAATTGTTAAAATGGCATTTTTTATGTTATGTATGTTTTATCACAATAAATAAACTTTAAAAGACCCTATGTTTAAAGTCTAAAATGTTTCTTTCATTAAATATAAAAGAAAAATTTAAGTGGTAAAAAAAAAAAAAATACAAAATTTTTTTAAAAGGGAGAAGCCAGAGGAGCAGGAAAGGTTTTGTCAAGAGGGCGGACGGCCCTAACCGGTTTGGCTCAGTGGATAGAGCATCGGCCTGTGGACTCAAGGGTCCCAGGTTCGATTCCGGTCAAGGGCATGTACCTTGGTTACAGGCACATACCCAGCAGGAAGTGTGCAGGAGGCAGCTGATCAATGTTTCTAACTATCCCTCTCCCTTCTTCTCTGTAAAAAATCAATTTTATATATATATATATATGGCAGAAAGTGTATGCTCGGCCAGTGTGGCTCAGTGGTTGAGCATCGACCGATAAACCAAGAGGTCTCTGGTTCAATTCCCCCTCAGGGCACATGCCCTGGTTGTGGGCTCAATCCCCAGTGGGGGGGTGCAGGAGGCAGCCCCATCCATGTTTCTCTCTCATCGATGTTTCTCTCCCTGGAATCAATAAAAACATATATTTTTTTTTTTAAGAAAAAGAGGGTAGACGTGGGCAGATTTCAAGACCTCGCTTTGCTTTGGGAGCAAAGACCCAGCCACAGGGCTGGGAGGGTGGGCTGGGTCATTTCAATGAGTCTGTGTGGCTGAACAGGGACATAGAGAAACAGCAAGAAATTAAAGATTAGAAAGCTCTATTGACCTATGAATCAGAAAGTCACGGTTCGATTTCCAGTTGGGGCACATGCCCAGGTTTCGGGCTCTATCCCCAGTTGGGAGTGTGCTGGAGGCAGCCAATTGATGATTCTCTGTCATCATTAATGTTTCTCTCTCTCTCTCCCTTCCTCTCTGCAATCAATAAAAATATGTTAAAAAAACACACACAAAAAACTCTTCGGGCCACAGAGGAGTTCAGGTGCGGAGCTCTGGAGGGAGGGCGATCCCGCAGGGGAACGCGGGAGTCAGGGCTGGGCTCTGGAACAGCCCCTCTCAGGCCTGAGTGAGATCAGAATCCCCAGGAGCGCGTGTGACCGCCCAGACGGCTGGCCCCACCCGAGTTCCTCACTCCTGGGACGTGGGGCTGGCTGTGGCGATTGGTGGTGAGTGGGTGGCCTGGAATTGAACCCTTTTTCTTCTCCTCAGACACCACCACCCGCCTCCTGCTCGGAGCCATTGCCGTCCTCCTGTTCGCCATCCTGGTGGTGATGAGCATCTTGGGTGAGCATGGATGTCGGGGCATTTATGCGGTTCAGTGTACCACCTCCTCAGAAGCGTGTCTAAGTAGGTCAACAGAAGTTCCTGGTGTACCACAAATTCTATGGGGGACAAAGTAAATAGCAAACCCAGTGTTAGTTCTAGAGGTGATTTTAGCTTAAAATACTCGTTTCACACGTCGACTCTACAAGTCCCCTTTACTAAGCGATGCGGGAAAGTGGAGCTGCCATGAGGACTCAGAGCAAACTCCAGGGGGGTTAGGCGGGCAGTGCTTCTTGGAGATGAGTTTGGGACAAGGGCCTTTAAAGATCACATTCATTCATTCACGGGACATTCATAGAGCCTGCTGTGTGCTAGGCCCTGGGCGAAGTACTAGGGATTAAAAAAAAAGATGTTATCTCCCTTGTGCAAATATAGCGGTGTTCCTGCGGGGAGGGGGGGGGTCCCAGAGGGGGAAACACGGGTGCCAGACCCTGATGAATGAATGGGGCCTCCCTCCAGGAGGCAGAGGGAACAGAACAGCCCAGGGAGTGGGGCCTGAGCCACAGGAGGGCTGCGTGGGCCTGAGAGGGGAGGGATGGAAGACCAACGGCCCTGTCACTATGGGCAGCCACCAGGGAATTTGGCTGCTTTTAATGGACTCAAGGCAACGTATGTCGTGGGGCCCGAAGGGTTTGCAAAGTGATTTGTCTTTAATCTTTGAGACGCACCATAAAGCCAGAGGTGGGCACTTCCAAGTGGGCAAAAACACCCACTGATAACACCAGCCCTTAGCAAACCCTCGCCTCCAGGTGTGCACGATAAGCAGGGAGGTGTGTTTAGAGAAGAGCCTGGTGACCGCTGGCGGCAGCTTGGTTCACCTGGAATAGTTACTGCAAATTAAATCAGGCTCCTCTTGGCTTGCTGGGGGGTCGGGGAAACGTGTAAAGCAGCAGAGTGTGGTTTCAGTGAGGTCTCTTCAGAGATCCTTGTGGGAAGGCAGCAGACATGCAGCCACCCCAGGGCCAGTAGTCCCGAGGGGACCTGCAGCGCGGAGCAGGCGTGCAGTGTGCGCCGGTTAACCGGTGTCCGCGTGGCTGGGATCCCTGCGGGCGGGAGCGCCATCGGCCTGTCTTGGCTCTGTCCGGTCTACATTTCATCAATCATTTGTATGAAAACAAACAAAATATATGCTTATAGAATGTGTAGGTGATACAATCCAAAGAGGGATGTTGAATGTGACAGACGAGAAAAAAAAATCAAGATTAATGTGTATCTTTAAAAACTCAGAGGAGCCAACATGAATGAGATAAACGTGGGAGAAATACATGTAAGACCCTTCATTTGGGTTTGAAATTGATTTATACGTGTTCTGGCCCCTGGGGAGACCCCACTTGGAGAGAGATCATATGAAAACGATCAGCGCATGGCTTCATTCCTCTTGGCAAGGAGGCCCTTTGAGACTGACGGACGCTCTGGGCTTCCTTCCCAGAACAGTGCGCGTGTGCACACGCCCACAGACTCCTCTCTGACGCGGTCTGCAGGCCGGGAGCCCACAGCAGCTGGAAGGCAGCGTGGTGATCGCTGTGGCTGGGGGCGGGGCCCATCCGAGCTTCCTGTCTGATGGGAGGCCGCGCTGTGACAGGCGGGCACCCTGTGGTGAGCCAGGCAGGATGGAGAAGGGTCTGGAGGAGAGGCCGTGTCTAAGCCTCGAGAGGGAGGCTGCTGTCCTTCAAGTGGGCGCTCGACGGCGACGGCTTTGCTCTGGGCCATCCAGAGGCAGATCGCGGGCCAGCAGGTCTAGGTCACAGGAGGGCAGGTGGGCACTCAGAACCGGAGAAACGCTTCCAGCAGTCAGTGGGGAAAGGCTGCCTCGTTAGCTAATGGGCCCTGGCCAGGCCCCCCCCCCCCCCCCCCCGAGCCAGCGGGCGGGTGCCACCCAGGCTGGAGAGAGGACACGTCCCTTCTGAATCGGAGTGTCTGGGGTCCCATGCCCTGAAGAGGTCAGAGAGAGAGAGGTGGTCTTAACCCAGGAGCTAACCTGCCACGTGCCCCCCCCCCCCCCCCCCCCCCCGGTGTCCCGAAGACCTCCCAAATTCCTCTTTGTGCTGCATTTAGCCACCCACCTTCTCCCTGCCAGGCGCTGTGAGGTGCTCACCTGAGCCATGTCCGTGCGGGGCACCAGGCGGGGCTGGTGGGGGAGCCGCGGGGGTTATGTGGGCCGGGCGCCCTGTGATGCTGACCCTCTCTTCCCGCAGCTTCCAAGGGCTGCATCAAGTGTGAGGCGCCCTGCCCGGAGGACTGGCTGCTCTACGGCAGGAAGTGCTACTTCTTCTCCGAGGAGCCGAGGGACTGGAACACCGGCCGGCAGTACTGCCACACCCACGAGGCCGCGCTGGCCGTGATTCAGAGCCCCAAGGAGCTGGTGAGCGCTGGGTGGGGGGGCCCTCGGGGACCCCGCCCTGGGACTTGGTGACGTGTTTCCAGAGGCGCCCCCCCCCCCCAGCCGCCGCACAGCCAGCGTGTGCAGGCGGGCCCCTCAGGGTCTGCAGGCCCAGGGGTGGCGTGTCCACGGCTGTGGTCAAGGCCAGCTATGTCGCCGCAGGCTGGGTTGCTGAGCTCAGCACGGTATTGTCACGTAGGAATGACAAGTGACCAGTGCCCCTAAGAAATCACATCGCATCTCCTAGTCCAACTGGGACCAGAGCTCTTGTGTCACCTCCAACACGGTTTTATCCACAGACACGTGGGAGAAACAGGATGTCTGTGGGCTGTGCTGGAGATGGGTGCAGGGTGTGGGGATGTGGGTGCAGGGTGTGGGGGGATGCGAAAGGCAGAGAAAGGCCAGAGGATGTAGGTAGAGGGACGATAGCCCTGGGCGCTGAGGTTGTCCCAGGTGCCTACGAAGTGGGCTGGGCGAGCCCAGGCTTCCTGCGACTCGGGGAGCTGGCACCTGGGCTGCTGAGCCAGGGCACCAACCTTGTGCCAGGGTTCCTGGGCCGGGGGCAGGCCCCAGAGCCGGGTCCCCGAGGGGCCACTGCAGGCGGCGGCTGGGGGGTCAGTGTGAGTGCAGGGCACGCTCTGACCCTCGGCCTCACCTCTGGGTGCAGTTAGGTGCCCCGCTCGGCGTCTGTATATCTTGGGAGCCCTGAGCAGTCAGGTGACCACACCTGACTGAGCCTTCCTCTTTCCTTGGTGCAGGAATTTATGTTCAAGTTCACGCGGAGGGAGCCCTGGATTGGCCTTCGCAGAGTCGGGGACGAGTTCCACTGGGTCAACGGGGAGCCCTTTGACCCCGACACGTGAGCTGAGGCTTCGTCTTCGTCCTCTGCCCTGAGCTTAGCCCGGGCAGGGCCTCACTGCCCCGCACCTCCCGAGGGGACCGCCCGGTGCTGTGCTAGTAGAGCTCCCCGAGGTTCAGCGGGTGTGACAACCCCTTAACGACATCGCTCTGCTCCATCGCGCCTCCTGCTGCCACCCTGTGACTCCCTGGTCTGCAGGGCCTGTCCGCAGGGCTGTGCGGGTCAGCCCCGTGGGAGGGAGGAGGGGTCCGTGCCTGGACGTCCCCCTGTGCTGGCCAGGGCACACCACACCTGGCCACAGGGAGGGTGGAGAGGGGCCTCTGCTCGGGGAAGTCACATGCCACCCAAACACTGACACTGTGAGCGTTAGAGACCCTGCTGGGGTGTGGGTGGTGTATTATCTGTGAGACCCACGTGTGGGAGTGAGTGTGTGAAGGGCGAGGCGCCAGGCACTGGTTTGTGGGGTGATGGTGGCAGTAGTCACGGGTGATGGGGTGTATGATTGGGGCAATGAGGGTGGTGACAGGTGTGTGGGGGCCGTCTAGGTTAGAGAAGTGCAGGGAATGAGGGACTGAACCCCGGCTTTCAGTCCAGACCTTATGGCTGGAGGAACAGGCCGCGAGGAGGTGGGGGGCGGGCACTGCTGCTGAGGACCACGCCTGCCCCCAGGTCCCCAGCCTCCTTCCCTCGGAGGCCGAGGAGGTTCCCCTCCGTCCCAGCAGCCTCCAGGGGCAAGCAGCTGGATGACAGTTCCTGCCCGTCCCCTCCATTGCTGCACCTGCCTCTCCTCACCACCTCTTCCTTTTCCCCTCCTTCCCTTTCCTGCTCCCATCTCAGATCAGCTCCTAGCACTGCTGAGAAGTCTTACACTTTGTCCCCTTACCCCCTTCTGGAAGCTTCCTGCTCCCAGAGGCTGGGAGAGCCCTGGAGATGGGACCCCACATGCTGACCACCTGGCAGCCATGGGCCTTGGGGGCGTGTTTCCCTGACACTGAGGTGGTCCTGCCCCCACGCTCCCTCTCGGGGTCCTAACACCAGCTCTTTCGGGACCCCAGCTCCAGGCTTGGCAGGGGCTCAGGTCAGGGTGAACAGAAGAAACCGTGGACCATGAAGGACCGATTTCCGGCGAGGAGAACCCTCCCGCACAGGCCCATGGATGACGTCCGGTTTCCTGGGCAGCAGCCCCAGTGTTAAACATTGCAGGGACTGGGGTCCCCCCCTGACCTGTGAGGTCCTTTAAGTCAGCTCCTCTCCCCCCAGCTCTTCTGTGCCAGGGGACCCTGTTCAGGAGCTGACCTGGGGGGCGTGGGGACAGACAGACACCGGTGTCTGGGGGGGGCTGGAGCCCGGTGCCGGGAGCAGGGAGGCAATGGGAAGCCCGTTAGGAAGGTCTTGGGGCTGGATGTCCTGGGCGGTGGTCGGGGCGGGGCAGACACCACAGGTTGAGCGCCGGTCTTCTCTCCTGGCCACAGATTCGCCATCGCGGGCCTGGGGGAGTGCGTCTTCGTGGAGCCCACCAGGCTGGTGTCGACGGAGTGTCTGATGACGCGGCCCTGGGTGTGCAGCAAGATGGCCTACACGTGAGGTGGGTCAGGCCAGGCCCACCCGCCCCAGGCTCCGCCCAGGACCCTCTCCCAGGCCCATGAGCCCTGGTCTCCTTGGCCCCAGGCCGGTCCTGTGGCTCAGCAGGTGAATCCCATGGGCTCAGGAGGGTAGGGCCCGTCCCGCCCCAAACACAAGCACAGAGCCCACCGTTAGCACCTAACCAGCCCCCTGTCCCCGCCCCACCCTGGAACCTTCCTTCCTCCGGCGGCCCTGGCACTGACACACTGCGTAGCCCCCTCCCCACGCCCCCAGGTCATTTCTCTCGTGGCTGCTGGGGAGGCTGGGAGGCAGGGCTTTCCTGGCCTGGGTCCTGCACACCCGTCCTCCTCGCCTTGTTCGGCCGCTGCTCCGGAGGCCCTGCTGCGTGGCGACTCCGATGGAATAGAGAGATGACCGGCATCCAGAGGAGTCGGCTGCTGTTGGCTCCGGGGCTCTGGGTGCCCGTGGGAGGGGGCACGTCAAGCCCACTTGACCTAGCTTGGCGGGTGGCAGGGGGCCTGAGGGCACCGCTTTGCTCTGCAGGCCCCGAGTTATTCTTAGGGGCAGGGTGGGCTCCCTCTGGCTCCTCGTTACTGTTCAGCTCAACACGAGGAGTGTTTATTCACACCCACCACACGCCAGACACCATGCCAGGCACGGGGATCAACGGCTTTATCCCCCAGGGAGCACACTGGGAGCAGAGGAAACAGAATGTTCTGGAACGTAGCCCAGGGACGGTTTATGCTGCCTCGGGGAGGATTAGCCACGGGGTAGAGATATGTTTGTGTTGGGCCTGATCCGAGTTTGTGCAGGTCCTGTGGCCCCTTCCGGCCCTTGGTCTGCCTGGGCGGGGGAGGGGAGGGGGAGGCAGAGGGGATGGGGGGGTGGCAGGTCCACCAGTGCCCCCCCCCCCCGAAGGGTAGAGCAGCTGGCCGTGGGGCCCAGGCCGCCCCAGCCACCTCTCGGTGCCCCTGGCTGGCGTCACGTGGGCGGCTGCCTGGGAGCTGCCTGTGTGAACTGGGTCCTGGCCCATTTTCAGAAAACAGCTCAGGGGAAACCAGGTCCAGCTCTGCTCCGCTCAGTCCTTCACTGCTGGGTTTCAGACAACGCTGTCAGCTTGGTTTTGCTGGCCTCTGCCTGCTTTCTAGTAAAACATGGGTATTCTGTGGTTCTGTACTTGTCATTATTGGGGCGCCAGAGGGGGACTGGGTGTACAATACGAGGTTAAGGGAATTCAGGGCGGTGGTGGGCCTGTGGGGGCGGCAGGAAGCCCACCCCCTCCCAGCGCCTGCGGGGACGTGTTGAGGGGCTGCAGGCTCAGGCTGAGGACTGGCCAGCTGCTCCTGCGGGCGGGGGGGGGGGGGGTCCTCTCACGCTCACCTCAGTCATGCTCAGGTCCGGGGTCTCAGTGCCCTCCCCTCAAAGACAGCGAGGCTCCAAAGCCTAGTGCCTTGCTTTCCACGAGGCACCTCACTTAGTAATCACTGAAACGCCCGAGGCAGGCAAGGCCACAGGGACAAAGCTCTACCCGGGCCGGCCCAAGGCCAGCAGGAGAGCTGAGTTGAGTGCTCTCGTCCTGCGCTGGGGCTCAGGCAGGAGGAACCGGCAACAGGAGGGCTGGGAAGGAGGCCGTGGGACAGGGGCCGCGGACCCTGGCGATTCGACTCTGCAAGGCCTGCTCCAGCTTTGGAGGCACCTGGTGACTAGGCTCTCCTGACCTTGGGTTTGTCCTGGGGCCACACGACAGTTCTAATCAGTTTAGCAAAAGGAGCCCTGACTCCGCTCACCAGTGTTGTAAGTTTTCCTCTCTGGTTCCTACCGGGGGAGGAAACACAAGGCAGAAACAAAACCAAACCCTGGCGTGGCCCGTCCAGAAATATAGACAACCTGCCAAGGGCTGTAACCGGCCGAGCGCCCCCACTACCCTCCCCGCCGAGTCCACCGGGTTTGCTGGGCGGCGGAGCCTGGTGCTGTGCTCCTGGCGGCCACGGGGGGAAGCACCAAGTAAGCTTAGCGCGGAGCCCCTCCTTCCTCGGCCCATTTGAACCCAGAGCCCAGTCCCTTGGAGCCGGCAGGGTGCCTGGGGAGGCTGGAGCAGGCAGACGTCCCTTGGGAAGATGGGGGGTGACAGGGAGGGCTTTTTAAGGAGGACACGTTGGGGCGGTGGCGTTCGGTGCTGTGCTAACGAGTTTCTAGCGTTTGCTTAGTTAATCCACACCCTGCAAGGTCCGCACCCTCCACTGGAGGAGACGGCTCAGAGAGGAAAAGGGCCGGCTCGTACACACAGCTCGGAGGTGGTGGGGGCAGGGGCAGAGCCCGGACCATCCCCACAGGGCTCCTGGGGAGGCACTTGCATGGCACGAGTGTCCCTGCCCAGCCAGCCAGCCTGGGGAGGGAGGGGGTGTCCCTGTGAGCCCACGATGGAGAAGGGCGCCCTGGGGAGATGTCCGAGGCCCAGAGTGGGGGTTGCTAGTAATGACTTCCGTGTCTCCTCAGGGCCCAGCGCCAGCCTCCCTGCCAGGCCTCCGGGACGCAGCAGCCCCGAGGGACCACGCCCTCTCCCCGGCACCCCCAGCTCTTCACACGGAGCCTTCACACGGCGCCTGTCACCTTGCCCTCCGTGACGTCTCCTCATGACCTGACCCTCCTGCACCTGATTATAAAGCCCGGGAGCAGGCTTTGTGTGCCCTGGCCTCTGGGATGTACAAACGCGCACTCGAAGATGACTGTCCGTGACAGTGTACACAGCATCACCAACCGATTCCCACGGTGGGAGAGCGCGGGCCCAGCGTCAGAAGACACGTATTTGGCCTTGGTGGGCATGGCATGGCATGGTTTTTGGAGGCCCAGCAGAGACGGACTCTTGACCTTGTTCTGCTTCAATCAGACCAGCTCATGCACACGCTGGGTGGGCGGGGTGGGGGTGGCCTGGAAGCACAGGGGCACGGAGGGAGGGCTGCCTCAGTCTCCAAAATGTCCTTTGCCTCATTCACGCAGCCTCATGAGGAGCCCGCTGTGAGGGGGACCAGGTTTGGGGAGTTTCCATCAGGGAGGGGCTGGCTGCTGAAGGTCCCTGTGACCCCTGGGATAGAGCCCTAATTAACATCACAGCTGAGACCTGGTTTCTAGAAATGGCCACTGCCCGCTGAGAGCTGACAGCAGTGGGAGGGGAGGAGGGGAAGGAGGCAGCTGCCTCTCTCCCCTTCCTGCTCTGTAGCCAGCTCCAGGCTCGGAGTATGAGATTGAAACGGGCATCCAGGAAGCCCCCTGCCACCCCCACCTGAGATCCCACCTCTCTGCTAAGGCAGCAGGGAGTGGACACACACTGGGCCTGGCTCCCAAGCCCTGCCCTGGGCCAGTCAGGGGCCAGCTCATCCCAACAAGCAGTTGTGGAGTTCAGCCCACTGTGCCGAACCTCTCTGACCCCAGGCTTCACCTCTGTCAACTAGAATCATGCCTGCCCTGCCTACCTAATAGGGTTTTGAGAATCATGGACGTTAGGATTTCAGGGGTTAGACATGATCGACCCCATGAGGCCCAGAGAGGTTAAGTGACACGTCCAAGGTCACACAGCTAGTGGCAGAGCTGGACCAGGCCATGTGGCGCTCCTGTTCCCTGTTTATTCTCTCATCACTGCATGTGTCATGCTTTGTGTATTTGTGTACTTGTTGGCCACCCGCGTGGAAATTAAGCTCCTAGAGGTCAGGGGTCCCCTCGCACACTTTTCTGTTTTTCTGGCGCCTGGTACATACAGAAGGTGCTCAATAAATGTGTGTTGAACTAAACTGATCTTGGCTTCTAGTTCAAGTTCCCTTTCCTCTACACCAGGGGTGGGGAGCATCCTGCCCCCCGGCCGTACAAGACCTGAGAAAGTCTGTGGTCTGGCCCTGCCCAGGCGTTGGGGGTGAGTTAAGTGTTTGACCGCATACAGCAGGCTAATTTTTAAGTTGATAACTTTGTATGGCCTGTGAAGGATGTTATGAATATCCAAGTGGCCCTGGGCAGAAGAAAGGCTCCCCACCCCTGCTCTATGCCATGCTGTCTCTGGCCCTGGAACCTGCATTTCCCGTTCCAGGGCCACAAACGAGGAAAACTTTCAGATGTTTTTGAGAAAAAAAATAAGCAAGATACTCACCCACCCGGTGACATCCATTCTGGACCAGAGTCTAGAGCATAGGACCCATGTGAGCGAATACATACAATTCTAAGACAAAATTGGAATAACAGTACAATTAACACTAATTACTAGTAAGAACCTGTTAGGGCCAGACATTGTGCTATGCAGTTCACACACGAAGTGCTCGCTCACGTAGCGCAGTGCCTGGTCCACAGTAAGTGCTTAATAAGAAACCATATTCTCGGAGGCTGTCTCTCACCGACACAGCGTGCTGCAGACGCTGACAGGGCTCCGAGACCTGCCTGCCACCTTGCCTTAGCAGGTCAGGATGCCTTCCTCCAAACCAACCAATCACTGTTAGGGGGAGGGAGAACCGGGGAAGCGTGCATTGCTTCCCAAATGCTTCCACCTGGAAATGACTCGGACTCCTGAAACCTTTCCTTGATTAAAGGCAAAGCTTGAGCCCTGACCGGTTTGGCTCAGTGGATAGAGCGTCGGTCTTTGGACTGAAGGGTCTCGGGTTCGATTCTGGTCAAGGGCATGTACCTTGGTTGCGGGTACATCCCCAGTGGGGAGTGTGCGGGAGGCAGCTGATCGATGTTTCTCTCTCATCGAGGTTTCTAACTCTCTGTCCCTCTCCCTTCCTCTCTGTAAAAAAATCAATAAAATTAAAAAAAAAAAAAAAAAAAGCTTGAACACCTAACTTCAGAAAGACCGAGAAATGCAATCCTTCCAGGTGCCGGAAGGAAAAGATAGTGAAAAGTCTTGGTCCGTGGCAGGCCTCCCTGTGACATCGCCACCCACATTCTGTGGGCCCCTCTCCATTCAAAGCCCTGGATGGAGCCAAGCTGCTCCCATCGCTGACCTGCGTTAGTCAGGGCTACAGGCTAGAAGACCTTTATTTTGTTAAACCTCTGCAATTGGGGCATTGTTCTAGAACAAGCATGTCAAACTCAAAGGCTAACACGGGCCAAATAAACAAGGTTTAAGTTTATGTGGGCCGCAAAAAAACAAAGGCTTCGATTTTCATAGAAACGTAGGTATATTTCGATAGAGACATGCTGAATACAAAGGGCTGAAATAAATGAGTCATCATTAACATAAAATAGAACATTTTAATAAAAGTAATATTTTTTTCTTGAACATTAACTTACTAGACACTGCATAACTGCACAAATTAATAAGTGTTACGCAAATAAACCTATTTTTCTTGTTCTCCAAAAGCGAAATATTTCCTGTTGCGCACACCAAACAAGTCAGTACAAGACTAATGACGTGGCAATCGGCTGCTAAAATATTCGCTGTTAGTATTAGTGGAGAGAAATGGTAAGGGAAATGAATGCAACACGATTATAGTAATCAGTCATTAGCAAATGTTGTAGTTCGTTATTAATAATTATGTATAACAGGATATTATAAAATTAAGTAATTTTTTAAAAAAATATATTTTATTGATTTTTTACAGAGAGGAAGGGAGAGAGATAGAGAGTTAGAAACATCGATGAGAGAGAAACATCGATCAGCTGCCTCCTGCACACCTCCTACTGGGGATGTGCCCGCAACCCAGGTACATGCCCTTGACCGGAATCGAACCTGGGACCTTTCAGTCCGCAGGCCGACGCTCTATCCACTGAGCCAAACCGGTTACGGCAAGTTACATAATTTTTATTAAAACGTTTTACATACCGTTATATTGGCTGGGCCACAGAAATATTCATTGTGGGCTGCATGCAGCCATGGGCCGCGAGTTTGACATGCTTGTTCTAGAAACTAGCATACTCTGCTACCCTACTCAACCCACATGAGAGCTAAAGTTAAAGAAGGTAATAAGAAGATAGGCTAATCACAATAATAAACAATCCTAACATTTCAGTGGCTTAAATATAATTGAAAGATGTATCCCTTGCTCTTTGTGGTTTTATCCAGCGTGGCTTTGCTAGGGGACAGCCACCTGGGCTTCTGCCATGTGGTGGCCCCACCGCTCTCGGGGCTCTCAGAGTCCTTGGGTCCTCAAACTACGGCCCGCGGGCCACATGCAAATACAAATATTGTATTTGTTCCCGTTTTGTTTTTTTACTTCAAAATAAGGTATGTGCAGTGTGCATAGGAATTTGTTCATAGTTTTTTTTTAAACTATAGTCCGGCCCTCCAACGGTCTGAGGGACAGTGAACTGGCCCCCTGTTTAAAAAGTTTGAGGACCCCTGCTTCAGACCTTCCACATCTGGCTAGAAACAGAGGGACACGCGTGTGGATAAGTGACCGAGAGCTTTTTTAGGGGTCAGTTCTGGCCATAATTATCTGCAAAGAAATCCAGGAAATATAAACCTCTGTGGAAGGTCCAGATAGTCTTCCCGCATTTCACAGATAAGAAAGCTGAGGCGTGAGAGGTTAAGTGATTTCCCGGCTCAGTTCCTGGGACTGAACCGGAATATCCTGCCTTCACAGCCCACTGGCATCCCTGGCCATCGAACCGCCTTCCCTCCTCGGCTTCACTCGCTCAGCACAGCCTCTCCCGCTCAGAAGGGCCTCCTCCAAGCAACCCCTTTCCCTCTGGTCCTGGCCCTTTATCTCCCGATGGGAAAATTGCCCTCTTCCAAGCTGCCCATCCACGGGCTTAGTCTGCAATGGACGAAGGTTCTCAGAGAGCCAGTGCAATGAAATGTAGGAAGACACTGACACAGGCCGTAACAGACATGAAAGCAGACGTCCAGTGGCTTCTCTCCAAGCTGCCTGTGGCCCAGAGTCGTTCGGAAGTGCTGCTGATGGCGGGGTCTCAGTGGGAGGGACTAGGTCTCTCCTACAGATGAGCATCTAACAATGGAATTAGATCCTCTCACCTTGAGGTCTGTCTCTTCCCTACAGAGTGAGGATAGGGGTGTTGCTGGACCCTGCCCTGTCCCACCCTCACGCAGAGCCAGCCAGTGCAAGGGAAGCTGAGGCGGCAGTCAGTCTCTTCAGAGGACACTGACAGGGCCTGGGAGCGTGGTGATGCAGGACCTCGTCCCTCGAAGGCAGAAGCCCCTGGGCAGGGTCCCAAGCTGGCTGCCGGGCAGAGAGCACCATCCAATTGCTGGGGGGGGGGGGGGGGCCCTCCTCCGGGCTCCTGGCTCAGCCAGGAAATAGGCCTTGTTATGGACCTAGGAGTCTGCTTCCTGCTCTTCACTGGGAGAGTAACTTGGACAACCTAAGCCTTGCCACCCAGGACCAGCTATGCCCAAGGGAGCACATTGGAGGCAGTAAGTCTCTCACTTTAGATTAAAAAAAATAATTTTTTAAAAATTGATTTCAGAGAGGAAGGGAGAGGGAAAGAGAAACATCATTGATGAGCGAGAATCATTGATTGGCTGCCTCCTGCACGCCCCCTATTGGGGTTGAAGCCAGCAACCCAGCATGTGCCCTGATCGGGGAATCCAACCGTGACCTCCTGGTTCATAGGTTGACGCTCAACCACTCAGCCACGCCAGCTGGGCTCACTTTAGATTTAAATCATTTTCCAAAGTCCTTTTGGCGAGACCCTTCCGCACAGCTGCCCTGCATTCCCCGGCGTCCTCTCATCTCTCCACGCCCGTGGCTGTGTTCCCCGGACACATTCACAGTGTAAAAAGCAGTTTGATAGAAGAGTTTTGTCCAAGTCTTTTGCCTGGATTTTTATGGAACTTGGATTGGCTCAACCGGATTTAACCCACATTCGAATACTGTATTTTGGGTTCCATTGGTCTCACCTGAATTCTAGGAGACACAGAATGTGGAGTGGAAACGAGGGTTGATTGGGGCATGAAAATGGGCTGAGTGGTTTGTCCACTTATCCAAATGTTTACTGACCACCCGCTCTGCCTGGCGTTGTAACAGGCGCCCTAGAAAGAGGTGAAAGAGAGATCCTTCCCGGGAGGGTTTTGTGGTTTTGGGGGAAGGAAATCAGCAGAGAAGCCTGACAATGTGGTAAAATGGCAATTATACGGGGGGCGAGGGGGGGGCGGGCGGAGACTGGGAATGTAGACAAAAAGCACCTACCTCATCAGGAGCCCGAGGGCAACCTTCCCGGAGATAAGCAGCTGGTTCTCGAAGGGCATGGGCTCCAAAGCAGGGAGAGGAGGCTAGACAAGAGCGCACTCGGGTGCAGAGGGGCGAGGTGGGCGCAGGGCCTTCCTCCTGCGGCTGAGGGAGAGACCTGCACAGCCTTGTGGGAGGGCGGGGCCGAGGGAGCCGGTGGCCACCTGGATTCCTCTGATTCCTCCACTGAGAGTGCCAGGTGGGGGCTTGGAGAGAGTGGGCGGTCCCGTTAGCCAGGAGGGAGCTGGGAGCACCTGGCAGGCTGACCAGGTGCGCAGGGTGGGAGGCCTTCCCAGAAGCTCTGGGAGCCTGGGTGTAGGAGCAGAGAGGTAGATAGCTGACTCTGTCCACAGCAAGTGGGTACAGCAGGGAGCTGAGGGTGCAGCAGGGAGCTGAGGGTACAGCAGGGAGCTGAGGGTGCAGCAGGGAGCTGCGGGTACAGCAGGGAGCTGAGGGTACAGCAGGGAGCTGCGGGTACAGCAGGGAGCTGAGGGTGCAGCAGGGAGCTGAGGGTACAGCAGGGAGCTGAGGGTACAGCAGGGAGCTGCGGGTCCAGGTGAGAAGGTGGGTGGGCCTCATGTGAGCCCAGGAGGCACAGAGGATGGGGGCCAGGAGCCTGGCAGTCCTGAGGGCCCTGGACACTGGCAACAGAGGCCATGATGGCTGTCAGCGAGGAGCCCTCGTGCGTTCCTGGTGGGGATGTAAGATGGTGGAGCTGCTGTGGCCAAGTTAAGACTCACCATACAGCCCAGCGACTGCACTCCTAGGCGTGTATCCAAAAGAATGGAGAGCAAGACTAGGTGCGTGCATGCTAGTGCTCACGGCAGCACTGTTTGCAAGACAGTGGGCACAACTCCCTCATCCATCAACAGATGAACAGAACGTGGTGCACACAGTGCAACGTTACTCAGCCTCACAAGGACATTCTGATACATGAGAGACGCTGAAAGCATTGTTAAGTGAAACAAGCCAGAAAAAGGGCAAAGAGTATATGTGTCCACTTACGTGACGTAGCCGGAATAGGCAAATCCAGAGGCGGAAAGGGGAAAGGTGTTTGCCAAGGGCTGGGAGGTTGTTCTTTAATGGGTTCAGAGCTTCTGTTTGGGATGGTGAAAGTTCTAGAAATACATAGTGGTGATGCATGTACTAACGCCACCAACTGTACACTTTAAAGTGGTAACTTTGGTGTTATGTGTATTTCACCATGAACATGTTGGAGTGATGAGAAGCCACACTGGAGGCGGAGGAGGAGTTGCTTGTGCTTCCCGAGGTGGCCAGGAGGGGGCTGGGGAGCTCATGGCTCCAGTTGGGGCTCCTAGGGAGGACCCAGGTGAGCAGTTCAGCGAGGAGCATGGACGTCTGGGGAAGGGCAGGACGTGGGTGCAGAGGGAGGCTGCACCCTGCACGCACCCTGGAAAGCTCTTAGGACGGCGATGACAGCAAGGCCTCTGGGATGGGTTTGGAAGTGGACGGGGTTGAAATGGCTAAGAGGAGGGAAGGGAGCTGGGAGACCTCAGGGGCAGGCAAGTGAGGCCCCTCCACAGCCACACACGGGCATCTTGGCAAAATTAAAAAAAAAAAAAAAGTCTTTATTGATTTCAAAGAGAGGAAAAGAGGAGAGAGAAATATCGATGAGAATCACTGATTGGCTGCCTCTGCACGCCCCCTACTGGGGATCAAGCCTGCAACCTGGGCATGTGCCCTGCCCTGACCGGAAATTGAACTGGCCACCTCTCAGTGCACAGGATGACACCCAAACAACTGGGCCACACCGGCCAGCATCTTGACGAATTTCAAATGCAGCGCTGGGTTATAAACGTGTTCAGATGTATTAAATACTTTCGAAGGGCTAAATACTTCTGAAGGCTGCTACTCGTAGCAGTAACCTCTTTAGCCCCGTGACGGGTCTGGTTCCAGAAGAAATGAGTGCGCCAGGCCCATGGACAGTGATTCCAAACAGTTTAATGTAATTCCAAGACAAAGTGTGATTACATCGCTACACATATACAATATGCATATGTGAGTTTACAAATTTTAATTAATAACTCGTTTCACCTCAGAGACCGAAAAAATGATCAAAAAGAAACTGTGAGTAACAAGCTATAACATAGTTCACCACACGGGACCCCCTGCTCACCCTACAGTTAGTAATATTACAATTAAAATAACTATATTCTTCTATAATTTTTTTCTGTTAAAATCATCTCATAAATTTACAATGCTATTATTAGTTTCCAAGACTAATATAAATTCACTCCATTTTTCTACAACGAAAATGATTATTAATTTAGAAGCACACGACGTCATGATGAAAAACACAAGCATTTTAGTAGCAAGGACTTGATCAGTTAAGAATTATTTTTCTTGTAAAACATTCTAAAGCCAAGTAAAATATCCATTCTTATAACATACCTATAATATGAGACTAAGGAGTCGGTTACATAGAGGCCTACGACACATTGGTTTGTCTTTAAAAAAAGTAGACATTTATAAATAAAAAAGGAAAGTGGGACAATTCACGTAGGAAAGGGAGGTACACGAGAAAATACTGTTGCACGCAATAATTTTCACAAAGATTAACGTGGATTAACACTTCTTATTACAGAAACAGTACAGTGAAGGAACACAACAGACCAGGGCTTCCATAGGGTTATTGAGCTGAGATGACCTGGAAGAGAAAGATCTGGACGAGATGACCTTGGGGAGGGAGCCACGTCGCTTGGACTGGTGACCCGCGTCACCTGGTCTCCTCTTCCCTGTTCTTATTCTGGGGCGTGAGCCTTCCATCCAGAGTGTCCTAAATTCACGGGCAGTTGAAAGGTAAACATTTCTACAGATCCGTTCTCTTTCTACCCTAATGGATACCATTTTTGGAAACGTGATATAATACCAGAGACGGCAGCTCAATACATGTGGTCAAAGCAAATCGAGATGGAAAATTCCAGTCATTCTGATTTGTTGCCTCCCTCACTCATCTATGCCCTTGACCCTGGGGACCTAGAGAGCGGTGGTACGCTCAGGGCCCCTGCCTCCACTGTGGCGAGCTGTGACGCCTCAACCCAGGTGTGGCAAGTGCAGCCTGGGGCTGACTCAAACTTCTAAAAGCTCCTCCTCCTCCACCTCCTCCTCCGTAAAGCTATGCTTCTCCTACCCGCCATTTGGTTTGATGTATATATATACATATACACACAAACATACATAACAACCTCTCTATCTACACAGTGATTCTCTACTAAACTAGAAATTCTGATGCCCCAAAGTATGTCTTCCTGGTCTACTTCATTTGGTTAAGAAGATGCACACAGAGGATGAGGAGTTGCTTTGGGGCGAGAAATGATTGTGCCCTGGGAAAGCTACGAGGAAATGAGCAGTAATACGAGTGAGGCGCGTGGGGGGCGGGGAGGGAAACCATGCCACGTGGAGGCATCGCCAACAGGGATGCCTGCTGGGAAGGGAGGGGTGGGGGGGGACACTATGTTCCATTCATCAGTCACAGAAAGCTACAAAGAATGGGCATGGTCAAACCACTTTTCCTTCCCAAGTCCTCATAACCTGAGCCAAACTATTAAAATAATGATAAGTCCATTGCCCCTTCGACCAAGCAGGCCACTCACAGGGAGGCAAGACCACCCCTCGCAAGGCTAAGGGGGCCCTTCTTCCTGGCTCTTGAGAGAGCGTCCTGGGAGGCGGGTGCCTGGCCGTGGGGCTGTGGCGACAGCAGGGCAGAGGCCGGGGTGGCCACGGGGACAGTGACACGACACCAGTGGGGTAGGCGGTGCGGGGAGAGGCTCGTGTGGTGACTGGTTGAAAGGAAACTAGTGAGCAATGGCAGAGCCCTTTTTCAGATACAGTAAAGTTACTTAAAAAAAAGCCAATTTCTATACCTCTAGTTTTTAAAAAATGGTTAACACCCAAAGACAATGACATAAAACTCATTTGGTTAATTAAAGCAAAGGGGAAACCAATTGGAGGAAAGCGGGCATATAACTAGAAGGGACGAGATGAAAAATATTTTACAATAAGATTTCTAACAAAAGCCTGAAATAAGAACATACTGTCAACAGAGTTCACAGGGAAAAAGCAAATGCGTTTTAAAAACACCACCACAAACAGCTCCCTGGTCCCAGGTGTCTGCGGTTTTCAAGGTCTCATCTGCTAAAGGAATGCCCTTTAGTTCACAGTAGGTCCTCCTCACTCAACAGAACCCACAGCTGCCGGTCTGTTCCTGCAGGACAGGGCCTCACGCTGAAGTCTCTCACCTTCAGGTCTGACCTCTCCTTCAATGGGCCTCAGGGGCCCCTCAGTCCCCAGCCCCTCCTGCTCAGCAGACTCACAATCTCTAGGAAGGATCCAGGCCCCCCTCCCACTGACCTAGGCCTCAAATCCAAGTTTAACAGAGTCAACACATCCTTTTGCATTTATTTTGTGTCAACGGAGAAAAGGACTCGATGACAGCAGATATGGCCAACCTAGGCAATGAGTATAGGCATAGGGATGGATGGCCTCCCCTGAAAACCCCAGCAGAATGTCGCCAGGGGGCCCAGAAACAGCAGCTGCACTTCCGGGCTCCCTGGATCCCAGTGTCTCCTACTGCCTAGTGACTGGATGTCAGTGGATCATTAATAAGTTAAACATTCAAATCAAGACAGTCAACAAACCAGGTGGCTGTTCTCTCTGCCTCTTCTGAGATGTCAAGGCCTCGAAGGGCTGATATAACATGGCACGAGGTCTTCGCATCTGGCCCAGGCTGTGGACCGAACCTGGAAACCCTTTCACATTCTCTCTCGTTCCCATGGAAACCGTAACATGGAGGGCAGTGCTACACAACACAACAGCATGGGTGGGACACCTGCCTTGGGGGCGCGGCTTCCAACTGGAGGGGCCGCTCGCTGGGGTCTGAAGATGTCAGTTATAAACAGAAGTGTTTTTTTGTGTGTGTTTTTTTTAAAGTACCAGTTTAAATGTAAACTATAAAACACTTTAACTATAAAATGTAGCCAGAAATATGCTTCAGCATCCACGGTCAATTATTTAGTGTACGCATTTAAAATGTGACTCTCTCGCTGTCTTAGAAGGCTAACAGCGTTTTACAGTAGCTAAGAACATAGAGACTTAACATGTGCATTTGAACATCACATTTGATTACAACAGACAGAGAATCAGCTCTCCCTCGGTTTAATTTTCGTCGTGAAGGTCAGCTATTTTCGGAATTCACTCAAGCCCACAGAGTTCACAGTCTTCTAAATCCCAAGAGCAGGCCAGCTACATGACTTCAAAAGAGGCTAAAACCAGGATGAATGCCCACAGTTGAGGTATTATTGCCATTAGGTCACAGTTAGTGTAAGATAATGTATCTAAAACCTTCTTTAGAAAAACCTTTCGGTGCTCCGTCAGAATTCCAGCACGCCTACCGAAACCAACCAGGATCGAATGCCAATGAGTTGGGTTTGCTTCCAATGGAGTTCAAGTTCTAGAGGACTCCAGAACTTGTGTCAACTACCCAAGAGTTTAGGCCGACAAGCCTGGAGCCAGCCAATAAAGACGTTTTTAAAATAAAAAAGAAACAAAACAAAGAACGCCCACCCAAAACAACTGAGGAGATGTTTCATAACAAATAAGAATTTTCTAAAAAATTAAAAATTGAGTCCCAAAGTACTTCTAAATTCTTGTCACCTTTCAACCAAAATAAACACGCTCTGTGTTGCTAGCAATCTCGGACCGCGGCAAGAGCCTCTCCCTCCCTGTAGTTTCCCTCCGTTCACACACCACTGCGCCCGCTGCTTCGGGAAGGCTGCCTCGAAACAAAACCTTATTTTGATCCTCTTTCTAAAAATCGTCTTTCTCCTTCTTCTATGTCTTTTTTAAACAAAGGAAAAAGTTCCTGGACACCAGACCCGCACAATATTTACAAACTCGGTGTGAGCCCCGTCCCTGGTTCTACCCAGAGCTGAAGAGTGGGTCGGTTATGAGACCAGACTTGTCATGATGTTTATCAGTGCAGTCAAAAATAGCACGTTGGAAAAATATATATATATAGCTTTAGTATTGCCTTTCTAGAATTAACTATAAGCAAGAAAAAAATTGTTTTTTTTTAAAGAAGAATTTTTTTTTTCCCCTTTTCTCTCTCAGGAGTTTGTGGCAGCAGCAGTACTAGACCAGTTGGCACACTGGAAAGGGACCTGAAACACATTCTATTCCGAATCAAAAGAAACACCCCTACGATTCTCTCCGAAGCCAAGCTACCGCTGCCCCTCTGCTCGCCTCCAATGCGGACGCCCTCTCCACGCAGACCTGCTGCCGAGGCCCATGCATGTGAGCCACAGCGCGGGACACCCCAAGGCCTTCCTTTGCATTTAAACATGGGAGGCACCGAGGCCGGCCGCTGAGACCTGGGTCCAAGGCCCGCTCCCTCCTAGCCGGGTGACCCTGGCAGCTGCCTCCTCTGTAACGGATGCCTATTGCTGATTTCATCGTTATTCTGAAGACCAGGATAAACAAGCTCACGGATGAGCCGTGTTTAGCACAGTGTTTGGCACACAATTGATGGGAGTACCATTAAATGGTCAGAAATATGAGGCTGTTAATTAAAAATCCTATCTCAGCCAAGGCCTCCTTAACAAAAATTTCACTAGAAATGTGGCAATTTCAGACCACTATTTTATTTTATTTTCGTTAGCACATGCTACTCTTTCTTTGTTAGAACATCAGCTTCCTCACCACCCCCCATCAGTAAAGGGGGCGTCGTACATGGGGTGGCTCTGAGGGCGCCATGAGGTCACCCTCACAGGGCTTGCCTGGGGCCTGGAGTGCTGAAGGCATTCAACAAATGCTGGCTGTTAGCTGAGGGACATTGCAGGTTTTGAGAAGAAATGAGAGAGTCAATCTAATATTCTTGAGATTGGGGGCTCTCGGAGACTTGCGGGAGTTGAGTTGGGGGCACCCAGGAGGGTCCCTCTGGGGCAGGTATTCTGAGAGCGTGCCCTACGGAGGGTCCCTTCTGCGTCAACTGGGTCTGAAGGGAAGAGCTGGCCTGGAGCTGCAGGAATGAGGTGAGAAGCCTCTGCCAGGTGGGGTGATGCTAGTGAGCAAGGCGCCAATGGTCTTTGAAAGTCTCTGTTGCATTTAAGTCATTTCACCATCTTCAGTTCTCTAGTAGCCTGGCTGAGATTTTACGGACTAGTCTGTGGAGATTAGAAGTGAGAGTCCAAAGGCATCAGAGCCCGGCTCCTGCACATCCAACCCCCAAACGCAGCTGAACTTCCCGGCAGGTCTGCCCGGTCGGACCCCTGGTGACACGAGGCCAGTTCAGCTCACATAGTCACGTGGTGTCTCCAGCCCCCCAGTAGCAGCAGCGTTAGGGTTACTGATCTACTTCTCTGAAAAGGTGAGTACAGCTTTGAAATCAATGTAACAACAGAAAGTCAGGATACAGAGGAAAGAGAAAGACAAATGGAATTGCATCACGAACGAAGTCATTATTGCCCCGAGAGGAAAGACAGGAATGCCACCATGCTGTCCGTGTGGAGGTGTCTCCGAGAAGGGTTCTTTGGCTAAAGAAAGGAACAGTTACACCTTCCTTTCCAATTTGGTAAGGACAACTCTGGCCTGCTTCCTTTTGAGGGTTCCCCATGTAGTCTGTACGACACACCAGAGAGAAAAGACAGACCGGGTGGACCAGAAGCACACCAAGTCCCCAGGGCGGGAATGCTTTGTGGCAAAGCTCTTACGCTGGCGCTGTGAGGTCCCGGCAAGGCCGCGGCAGGAAACCTCGCCTCTCTGTTGAATTTTCTCTGCTACCTGGTTTTTTCTCCTGTTTTCTGTCCCAGAGCCCCACATCCTGCCCTGCCCCCAGCACCAGACAGAGTCCGGACGAAAGCTGGGTCAGCCCGTGGACACGGCGTTTCACCCCCCACAGCCCATCAGTAATAGCTCCTCAAGCCTCCTCATCTCCTTCCTCCAGTTTCCAAGAAAGTCTGCTCCACTCACTCACTCACTCACTCTCACACCCCAATCCTCCACCACAAGCTTGTTCAAAACCGAGTGTCTGCAATTCTACAGGCCTGGTCGAGGGAAAGCAGCCGTTAGCAGCTGCGCCGACCTCGCCTTCCCTCCGCACACCCAGCAGCCCGGTGTCTGGGCGGGTTGTCTCCCGGGGTGAAGGGGACTGCTAGCTGGCTCCCACGGCCTGCAAGCCACTCAGCGCCAGGAAGGCCTGGATGCAAAGCCGGTCTGAGAGACCACCGCCGGCGGGCCCCCACCCTCCTTGTCCCTCTGAATCGATCAACCCCATGCTCTTTCACAAAAGTAATTGGCATCAAGCCTCAGACTCTCCCACCCATCGGCCTGCTCACCCCTTCCCTTGGAAACAGCCCAATCATCACGAAAGAGGCCCTAAGCGCAGAGACACGGGTGCAAACATCCCGGAGGGCCGGCGAGGCCCAGTGCGGGAGCGTGTGGACCTGCGGCTCCCTGGCTCCCACGGCAGTCTCCCTTGCCTGTCTTTTTACATTTCCCCTCTCACTCTTACGACGTTTCCTCAGCAAAGAAGGATGAAGCCAATTATTGAACAGATGATGCTCTAGGTTATGGTACTTGAGGTCTAAGTAGGACTAGGTTGACACTCCTCTACTTGAGAGCTTGGGCCTAGGGATGGGCAGCCTTTTGCTCATCCCATTTGCTAGGGTGACTCAGTTGGAGGACGGGATGGGAGATGCAGGCAAGTGCCAAGGAGCACATGCAGAGGTTGGCACCTCCCACTGGGGGTTTCTGATTCCACAGCTGTGCTGGGGACTGAAGGAGGAAGGCAGGCGGGGACTAGGGGAGCGTGCTAACATTTGCTGAGTGTCTGCGGGACTGGGTCCTGCCCATCTCCCAGCTGCCCCCCCACCCCCCGCCCTTTCAGGGAAGCTGGCATTTCAACCCTTTCTTCATCCGGGGCTGAAGTTTCTGGGTCTGTGGGCAGTGTGTGTACACCTTGCTGATGGAAAAATCAGGGCACTGTGGGCCAATGACCTCACCCTGGCCGCAGTGTGCGCAGCTGCTGGGCGTGTCAGTGTCCTCTGGCCTCCTAGCATCCCTCCACCCTTTTTGGCTCACTAGTTTGTCCTTAGGATTGCAAGCTGAGATGTCCTGGGGGCAGGGCCAGACTGAGGAAGTGGGCAGCGTGGGGGGAGGGGGGAGGGGGAGGGGGAGGCGGCAGTTTCCAGGGGAGGGTCCTGCCTGCCCGGCAGCCTTACTTGGGCTTCCAGGAGGGACAGTGGTCTCTGAGCCACCCTCCTGGTGCACCGACGGGAAAGGGGGCGCCTGGGAGGGGCTGCATCAGCTCTGGCAGGGGGATCTTTTGGCGGGACAGGTACATGGCGGGTGTGAGCAGGCCAGGATCTGGGCAGCCGGGTTCAGAAGCGCAGGGCCTGGTGGAGGCCCACGCTCAGGGCTCAGCATGCGCGGCCGGTGTGGTCAGTGCCCAGGCTGCGCAGAGGAAAGGCCTGATTCTTCACTCTGGTTCTGTGGGGGATCTTTCCTTGACAGCTCTCAGTGGAAGAGATGACAAACAGTTCACCCAATTCCTTTGTCTGACAAAACTGGACATCTGTATGTCCTTCCTGTCTACTCAGATACTCACAGATATAATCAAATAAGTTTAAATATTAAAGAGAAAACACAAAGATACATGGAATAAGTGTGCATTTCAAACCCCAACTAAAATATCCACATGATGATAATGATAATAATTACACTGATAATAATCAAAATAATTAGTACAATAATATTATCTTTATGAGCAGCATGGACCTTTCATTCCTGGTCTGGAAGAAAAGGAAAGAAGTGTCAGGTGAAAGTTGACGTGGTAGACAGAGTCATCTGCTTCAAATGGAAGGCTGGTTGTCTTTTCTGGAAAGGTCAGAGGGCGCGAGGGTTGGGCGCGCACTGGGCGAGGCCCAGGACGCTACAGTAAGGCCAGTGAGGCGCCGCTGCCATCTGTGCCAGAGTTGGGCCTTCCAGGCTGGCGTGGCCTCCAACTTCACCCCCCCCCCCCCGCCCCACTACTCCCACTGACTGGCCGTCTCCTGTCGTCTCAGAAGGACGCACTCCCCACATCAGACAGACTATGGATCCTGCTGGGCCCCGGGGTTGTCTGCCCTCGAAAGTCATAGCGTCCTTCCTTCCTTCCTTCCGGCCTAAGGCCTGGATAAATGGGATCTCTTTGTAAGGTAAGTAGGACTTGTGGTCGGGAGGGGAAATTTCCAGAGTTAGTTCACATTTCACAGCTAAGAGCTAAGGTAAAGGTTTGGCTTCCTCACTGAATTAGGTCGGATGTCACTATAAAAACACCTTTCACAGCAGATCTTTAAGGGAGACTGTGGAGGGAAGGAGGGAGGTAGGTAGGGAGGGAGGGGGACGAGGACGAGGACGGAGCGGCCTCTCTGCACCTTGGGAACGCGGCGTTGGGCTCAGTTAAGGACTCAGCGTGGAGAGCCGACATTTAGGGCCTCCCTTTAAAGCCTCACTATGACCACACAGTCTCCTAACCCTCATGAGTGTGAGTTGCTGTGAACAGAGACCCCACCTGCCTCCAGCAGTTCAAGCCTGAGAAACGTCCAGAATGTATCAAAGGTGCAAAGAGGGCAAAGGGCAATTTCTTTGGAAACCTAACTGGCGGCGGGAGGGGCCTCCAAGGGGTGGCTGAAGGCCTCCTGGTCACCCCAATAAATGTCCCCCTGCCTTCTGCCCACCAGACCCTCAAAAACCAAAACCAAGTGGTGCCGTGGGCAGGCCCAGGTAATGAGGGAGAGACCGCAGTGAGCACAGGCTGGTGGTTGTCTGCAGAGGGAAGGGTCCAGAGGAGAGGGGTGGTGCGACAGTGAGGCCTGGGGGAGGTGAGAGCACCCGGCTGAGGACCAGGCCTGCGCTCCGGCCCACAGAGGCGGCAGGAAGTGTGCTGGCCTGGAGGTGGCAGGCGGCTGGCGGCCTCCTCTCCTCTGTCCTTTCCACACCAGGAAGGAGTCAGCCACTTGCAAGGCCAGTGTTCCTGCAACACAGAGGGACCTCTGGCCCCACAAATGGCAGAGCAACCATACAGGTAGATCGGGGGTGTAGGGGGGTGGGGGGGAGGGGGGCTGCAAGGGGTGGGGAGTCACTCCTGCTCTGTCCAAATACAGTCATCTAAAACATCACGCCCACCAGGTCCACCCGCACCATCCACCCCACATCTCAACATCCGGGGGCTCTCCGGCCTTGCCAGCTCCCTGACACCCCTCTGCCAGCAAACAGCCATAGATAGAAAACAGGTACTAAAATTAGATTAAATTAAAATTTAAAAACAAAAAGAGGAAAGACCAGAGTAAAATGTTTCAACAGCACAAAAGTGCCGAGATGCTCCGACTCGCCCGCCAGCTGCTTGGAGGACCGTGGAAGGAAACCCTCGCGCTCTGGTTCCGTAAGGCACTAGGAGGGAATGATGTCAAGTCAGGAGGGAGCCTGGCCCGCCCAGGACGCACAGGCGCGCTCGCGCTCACGCCTGGGCCACCACATTGGTTACATGCCTGTGCCTATCACTGTTGTGCAGTTACACTGAGGATAGTCCATTGGTATCACGGGAGTTGAACACAAAGAGAAACGGGTGCAGAATGCTACATTCCACCGGGTGTCGGCAACGCCCGCCAGCCCTGCTATGCGACTAGGGATTGATTCAAAGAGAAAATAAATCTTCAGAAAGAAAAACCTAAATTTTGGAACAAACATTATGAATGACATTTGAGGAGTAACTTTCTTAGGGATTTATCCAGAGAGCTCGGGAAGAGAACACATGCCCTCGGGGGAGGGCTTCCTGGGCCTGGCCACCCCCTTCCCCCCAAGGAGCCTGAACAGCCCAACCCACCACATCAGGCCACAGCGGCCTGACCTCTAGGGCTGTTGACCCTTTAGAGTTCTGGAAAAATCCCTAATTCTCATGTTCAACCATGAAAAACCTATTGGATTTCCATATCAGGTGTCCCTGACAGCAAGTTCTTAAATGTCACTTGCTGCCATATGAAAATAACCTCTGAAAAGTTCATAGATAAAGTTCTTCAGAAACTGGCCCCCCTTCCGGAATCTTCCATCGCTCTCTCTTCTCCTTTCCAGTTTGGTGCAGAATGGGTTCATGAGCTGTGTTTTTGTTACCGACGTTTTCTTTTTTTTCTTTTTCTTTTTAAAATAAAAAGCATAGATCCCCTCCTGAATCCCTTCTTTTTTTAAAAATGTCCTCTTCTCTGCTCAGTCCTCCCACTTCCTAGTTCAAGTGTCAGCAGTGTCCCCGCCCCGCCCCCTGTACTGCTGCTGTGCGGGTCTTCAGTGCCAGACGCCCAGCTCCGCCCTTGCCCGTGCCCCCTCCCAGTGTCTATATGTACGGGTACTGGTTGACCTTGGCGGGGCTCAGTGGGTACCCAGTGTAGACGGTGGAGGCTGGAGAGGCGCTGATGTAGGTCTGGTGGGCAAACTGGGCTGGATACTGACTCGGGTGGATGGTGGGCGAGGGCAGGACCCGGGGGCCCATGCTCACGGGGACCTGGTGGACGATGCTGGCCGGGTAGGCAGTGTGCTGCACGGTGTGGCGTGCCGAGCCTTGGGAGGCCACCAGGTGGGCCACGGTGCCGGTGGAGCCCAGGGCCGCGGGCGCCGTGTAGGTGTAGAGGTGGGGCTGGGTGGGGAGGTGGGCAGCGGCGGCGGCAGCCAGGTGGGGGTGCACAGTGCCGTGGCTGGGGCTGTTGTGCGGGAAGGAGTACGGAGCCTGGGCCATCGTGGGAGTGATGTAGGCCTGCTGCCGGCGGTGGCTCCCGGTGCGGTCTGCAGTGATGTGCTGCTGAGCCTGGACAAGGAGAAGCACCAGGAGAGGGCTGCACTGGGGGCTGGACACACGGGAGAGGAGGAGGGGGAAGTGAGGAGGGGGAGGAGGGAGAGGGATAGAGGAGGAGGAGGAGGGAGAGGGAGGGAGGGGGAAGTGAGGATAGGGAGGAGGAAGAGGAAAGGAGGGAGGAAGAGGGATGTAAGGAGGGGAGGAGAGAAAGAAGTGGGGAGGAGGGACAAGGGGAGGGGGAAGTGAGAATGGAGAGGAGGGAAGGAGAGAGAGAGAGGGGAGAGAGAAGAGAGATGAGAAGGGGGAAGAGGGGGGAGAGAAAGGAGGAGAGGAGGAGGAGAGGAGAAGGGGAGGGGAGGGAGAGTAGGCCACAGCAGTGGGAGTGACAGAAGACACCTCTGGAGGGTGCGGCAGTAAATTAGCCGGGACTGAGAAAGGAGGCCGTGCCCAGTGTCCCCCAGGCTGGCTGACACACAGACAAAGCCACTGCTGTTACAGGTCACAGATCTTCCTGTGAGATCTTGTTCTCTAAAATGCAGGCCCTCTCAGACCTCTGCTGTCTGCCGTTGTAGCAGACACATGTGCCAGCCCTCTCTTACCGGGGCATTCTCAGTCCTGGTGACAGATGCGGCCTCAGTTCACGGCCCAGGCCCAGCACAGCGCACGGGGCTTCCTGAGCACAAGCCCCTTTGTCTCACCTCGTGGCTCCTCAGGAAACAGGCCCGGGTCTGCTCTGCACCGAGCTGGCCCTTTACGCACAGGCTGGCTCTGCCCTCCGAGGCTCTGCTTTATTTATGTCCCACCTTCCCCAAACCTCGGCCGTGTGGCCCGGGCTCGGGGCGTGGCCTCCTCTGCGGCACGCAGCGGTGCCCCCTGTGCTGGGCGACACTGGCGAGCTGTGGGCCATCCTAACAAGCGCTGGCACATGCCACTCGGAGCCACATGACACTACACAGGTCGCCCTGCTTCCGGCCAGCTCTCCCTGAACCAGTGGCACCAGCTTGCCCAAGGGTGACCCTCGGAGGGAAGCAAACACCAGTGGCCGGTCAGGGCACCTTCCGCCCCCACTGGAGGGGCAGTGAGAAGCGCCGGGCTTACCTGGCTGAGGTTGAGCGGCTGCTGCTGCTGGAAATGTGGCCCCGGCCGCTGCTGCCGGAAGGCGACGGCTCCCGACGAGCTCCCTGAAGAGTGGCCGCTGGTGGAGGTCACGTTGCTGGAGGACTTGGACTTGTAGGAGGACGAGTGGTGACTGGTGTTGACTGTGTCGGGAGGAGAAACAGGTCACAGGTCAGTCCCGGGTCCTCGGCTCCCCCTCTTGGGCCAACGGGGGTCTTCCAGGAAGGGACCGTTTCGGATCTGGCCAATCACAAACCAGTCTCACTGCCCCAGGCCCGGGTGAGACCGGCCCAGGTCCCAGGAGTTGTGGCTCTGGCCCCACCTCGAACCTAGTTGCTGAATTCTCCCTGAGCCTCGCATCCCTCCAACACAGCGGTTCTCAACCTGTGGGCCGCGACCCCTTTGGTGGCTGAACGACCCTTTGACAGGGGTTGCCTAAGACCATCGGAAAACACATATATAATTACATACTGTTTTTGTGATTAATCACTATGCTTCAATTATGTTCAGTTTGTAACAATGAAATGGGGGTCACCACAACATGAGGAACTGTATTAAAGGGTCGCAGCATTAGGAAGGTTGAGAACCACTGCTCCAATATGTTCTCACAGAGTTCGCACTGTTGCTTTCCAAAGAACCTAACTAGCCCGAGAGACCGGAGAGGCTGGGAGAGAAACCCCGTGGCTGAGAACACAGGAGGGACGACGAGCTGTGGGAGATGGACTGTCACCCACACAGCCTGTGTCCTGGGTCAGCGGCTGGAGCTCCAGGGGTGGCTGCCGCCAGCGTGCGCCTTGGCTGGTGTGGGCCAGCTGCTTTCCTGGCTTCCCCGCCCAGGAGGTTCTGCAGCCAAGGGCACTGAGTACTGAGAACGAGGGCAGGCACCAGGATGAGGTCCTGCCTGCCTCTCGCCTGCCACTGGGAAGACTGCGCAGCAGGTCCTCAGGGGAACAGGAGTCTCTGTAAGAGACGACACCACGGGGCTTCTGGAGGCAGCGGCACTGGTTGCTTTAGAACCAGCAGCTCACCGAGAAGGACCTTCCATTTTTCTCATGTTTGTTGGACATATTCTTGAGATTCTCAGCTATTCAGGCAACCGTTTCTGTTTTTCAGACATGACCCGTCCTTGGGGAATGCAGTGGGAGTGCTCAGGGGCTGCCGATGGACATGGCTAGTGTAGCTCCACAGGCGTCATGCGGGCCCCGCAGAGCTGGCCTCTGGCGGCAGGACCAGGACGCTGCTGAGCTATGCTGGGCGAGGCTGGCCCTCGGCTTCCTCACCTGTCTGTGCGAGGGGGCTGCACTGGGTGGTCTTAGAGTTTCAGTAACTTTCGCCACCACGTCCCCTCCCAGAGCGGCGCCGGCACCACGGCCGACAAAGCTCAGAGCTGGGATATTCGACCTGGACATCTGGCCGCCCTCCTAGGCACCATCCACCTTGTGTTAAAAGGCCTAGGGAGCCCTAGCTGGTTCTGCTCCGTGGTTAGGCATCGGTCTGTAGAATGAAGGGTCCCGGATTTGATTCCCTTCAAGGGCAAGCACCGCGGTTGCAGGCTCCATCTCCAGGCCCAGTCAGGGTGTGTGCGGGAGGCAACCAGACAATGTCTCTCACATCGATGGTCCTTCTCTCTCTCTCTCTCTCTCTCTCTCTCTCTCTCTCTCTCTGTCTCTTCCCCTCCCTTCCACTCCCTCTAAAAATCAATGGAAAATATCCTTGGGTGAGGATTAACAAAAAACAAAAACATAAAAAAAGGGCAAGAGAAATTTAGCATTGGCTTCTTGAGAAAAAATCAATTCCTACATAATCTGCATAAGGTCTATCTTGAGCCAACTCTTAGACACATTATGTTTTTTTGTTGTTGTTAATCCTCACCAGAGGATATTTTCCCATTGATCCTTAGAGAGAGAAGGCAGGGAGGGAGAAGGGGAGGGAAGGAGAGAAACAGAGAGACAGAGAAACATTGATTGGTTGCCTCCCAAAAGTACCCCAACTGGGGCTGGGGATCAACCCCAACTACCCAGGTACATGTTCTTGACCAGGAATTGAGCCGAAACCCTCAGGGCACAGGCTGGTGTTCTAACCACTGAGCACACTGGCCAGGGCCATTATCACGTGTTTTTTTTTTAACTACTTTTTTATTTTTATTTTTATTTTTTTTATTTTTTTATTTTTTTTATATATTTTATTGATTTTCTACAGAGAGGAAGGGAGAGAGACAGAGAGCCAGAAACATCGATGAGAGAGAAACATCGATCAGCTGCCTCCTGCACATCCCCCACTGGGGAAGTGCCCGCAACCCAGGTACATGCCCTTGACCGGAATCGAACCTGGGACCCTTCAGTCCGCAGGCCGACGCTCTATCCACTGAGCCAAACCGGTTTCGGCTAACTACTTTTTTATTTTTTAAAAAATATATTTTTATTGATTTCAGAGCGGAAGGGAGAGGGAGAGAGGGATAGAAAAATCAATGATGAGAGAGAATCATCGATCGGCTGCCTCCTGCATACCCCATACCAGGGATAGAGCCTGCAACCCAGGTATGTGCTGTGACCGGGAATCGAACCGCGACCTCCTGGTTCATAGGTCAACACTCAATCACTGAGCCACACCAGCTGGGCTATTGCGTATGTTTAAGTATCATTACTGTTATAGAATCCCCAGAGTTGTCTGGGAATACAAACGTCCTTGATTTACAAACCTCAGTGTCTCACCCTGTAGGTCTACAGCCCCCTATCTCATATCCCTGGGGTCAGTTTTCAAATTCAAAATTTCCGATTTTAGGAAGGTAATTTGGTACATAGTCAATATATTAGGTCACCCCCAGAGGAGCCTCGACACCACCCTCCCGCCAAACACATGAATATTTCTGCCACAAAACACAGGGACACTTCCCAAAGCAGCACACATACGACTATGACACAAATGAACAGCCTCTGGCTGGGCCAGGCCAGGTTTTTACTGCCAACTGAGTTTGCTGTGAGCTTAAAATCTGGTTGTTTGGATTTTGGATTGCTGACGAGGGAGAACTATTTCCTTCCCTGCTGGCTCCATGAAAGGCCAATCTTTCTTCAGGATTTCAACTCCAATCCCAAGAATGTGTGTTAATTGAGCAGGAGCGCCCTCACCAAGCCGCGCGCATTAGGCTGCAAACTTTAACCTGGGATGTGCAGGGCTTCCTGTGGACTTGTGGGGGGCAAGTAAAGAGTTAAGGAGACAATTTCCAGATTCTCAACTTTTAAGTGTTTCTTTTCCTAAAGATCTTCCCAGCACTGGGTTCCTTTTCCCAGGTTCTCTCTCTCACACGTCTCCCATTTTATTATTTTTTAAAAATATATATTTTTATTGATTTCAGAGAGGAAGGGAGAGGGAGAGAGAAACATCAATGATGAGAGAGAATTACTGATCAGCTGCCTCCTGCATGTCCCCTACTGGGGACTGAGCCCACAACCTGACCGGAATCGAACCATGACTTCCTGGTTCATAGGTCGATGCTCAACCACTGAGCCACACCGGCTGGGCACACTTCTCCCATTTTACAGGAGAAAGACTCCTTCACTCTCCTGGATGTTAGCATGGTGCACTGGCTCTCGTGTGAGAAACCTTAGGAGTGCCCAAACGGGATAATTCTGGAATGGAGAGCTCTTGGGGGACAGTTCCTGAGAGCAAAGCCAAATAAACATGGCGGCTGTCTGCGTTTGTTTTACTCAGGCTTAAAATCTGGTTTTCAGAGCTTTCTCTCTGTCAACTCCTTACTCCACCCGTCTACTCCCGAGATGAAATCCAGCCACGCGATGGCGGTCCAGGGAAGAGTTTCCTACAGAGGGGAAGGCAGCTTGGCCGCCTGGGGTGACAGCCGGGCAGCATCTCCATGGATTAAATGAGTCCAAGCTGCAGCCTCGAGGTGTTGACAAAGGCATTTAAAGTACTTAAGTTATGATCAACACACAACACGGCAGGAATAACACCCGTGGCAAATACTGAAACTGGTGATGTGTGATGGATACAGTTGTAAACAATCTGACGGCGTCTGAGCAGCAAAGTATGAGGACCCTGCCTCCTGGGTGAGCTGTTTGCCTATAGGTTCCTGTGGTCATGGCCAGAGGGTGCTGCTACCGGCCGAGGTCCTCACTGAAATACTCATCTGGGTACTAATTACAGAATTAAAAAATGAAAATGCTGCTTATACAACGTGATGTTTAGCAGAATCCTCCCTTAGTGACTGAGCAAAATCTGTAGTAACCCGGCCCTTGTCAGCCCTCACGCAACAAAACTGCTAGCAGCAGAGCGCAAGGCCTTCTCCAGCGAGGTCACCTGCCCGGGCCCTGAGTTACCTGGCACCAGGCTGTCACATTCCACCAGCACGTCACTGGCCTGGGTCTTCAGGGGGGGCACGATGATGGTCCGGGGGTTCCCAGTGCAGTGGCTCTCCAGGCTCCCTTTGGTGTCGAAGGCGTTGGTGTTGTGCCCAGTGCGGTGCTGCACGGAGTAGGGGCTGGTGTTGCTGGAGGAGTCGGAGTACGGAGAGTCGTGGACCGTGACACAGCTGATGACGTTTTTCCTCTGCTTGGAGACAGTGCTGGAAAGGGACAGGGCAAATCAGAACTGGGAGGTGAGACACCAGCCAGCAGGTCAGGCCGGCGGCCGTGTGAAGAGCCCCCCTTGGTGCCGGGGCAGTGGATGGGACTCCTGCTGCATTGCCCTCGCGGGGAGGTAGGGCACACGAGTGTCACCTGTCACATGAAGACCTGAGAGAGGGCCAGAGCTGGGCCCACAGGCGCTTCTGGAAGGTGGGAGTGAGAAGCTTCGGGAGGGCCTGGGCTCTCCCTGGTGCAGCAACACCCCTGAGCCACCAGAAAGGGACGTCTGAGCAAGCAAAGCCCAGAACCCCAGAACCCCAGGCCCGTGTGGGAGAACGCCCCCACCGGGAAGGGAGAGCACAGCGAGGCTCGGGCCTGGAGATGCAGTGAACTTAGGCAGGAGGGACGGGAACACCCAGGAGCAGCCGGGACGCAGAGACGGATGGAGAAAGGGAGGTGCGGGGGCTGATCCCACACACGGTTCAGACGTGCTGAGAAAGCCATCGGAGCTGACTTCACACCATCGGCAACCTCTCTGCTGGGAGAGAGCTGCGGGGATGGCTGTGGTGCCCACACCCAGGACCTCTGAGTCCCCTTCTCGGGGAGCCTGGCCCTCGAATCGGGGAGGGGACAGCACTGTGTCCAGGTGAGGTCAGAGGGGCTCACCGGGGGGATGCCTAGTGGGGAGCTGCTCTGGACCCTGCTCTTCATCCTGAAACTCAACATGCCGACAGGAGGAACTGGCAATGGATGGCTCTTGGCCAGCACTTTTTCTGAGACATTTATGTTTGTGTGGTTACTCTGGGAACCAGTTCTTTCTGCCTCCAAACTCAGTGAGAGGCTGGTGGGATGATGCATATAAAATTTGTTGTTTATTGTGAAGAGTTCAAAAATGGGTTTTCATCTATTTTTATATATTGATCATCTATTTTTGAGAAATATCCGTTGCCTAAGTAAGATGGTCAGTTTCCAATGGATTTGCTAAGAGAAGCTGGTATTTATAGAGGCCTGATGGGGACAGACAATCACGGATGTCTTGGCCAAGGTCACAGGCCGGCCACAGGCCAGCCCCTTTCCAAGGTCGCTCTCTGCCTCCTAAGGGCAGCAGAGAAGTGGGCCAACTCAGGAGGCCCAGGCAGCCCGGCAGAAGGGAGGGGCTGGGCAGTGACTGCGTGTGACCTGCGTGGCCCCTGCTCTGGACACTATGACCTCTGGGCCCGATGATTCCTCTAGGGGCTGCACACTGTCCTGGTTCAGGGAAGCAGGCTCCCTCCCCAGCTGTGTCCGGGTGAGAACAGGGACCTGCAGCCAGATGTCTAACACCAGCACTTGCTGGGGGGGGTGGGGGTGGGGGTGGGGCCTCAGGCAGCTTTTCAACCTCTGAGTGCTTCAGTCTCCTTATCAGTAAAAGGTGGCTAACTAATAACTGTAGCTATATTATAGGCTTATTTGGAGAATTAGGTGAGGAAATACAAGGAAAATGCTTCGAATAGTGCGCGGCACCAAGCGGGTCCTCTATAAGAGTAGCTGCTATTATTATGAGCTGTGTCCCCTCATGTAACGTGTGAAAACAGGCCTGCCAAAGACATACCTAGGCACAGTGAGTTCTACCAAGGCGCAGACTCGCCGGACACGAAGGAAATTGAAACTCACCAGTTCGGTATCTAGAAGGCCCATGCTAGGTGCTACAGGAATTCCTGTACACCAACATACAACACATGTATGTGTGCCCAAAAGATCAAAACAGCGCGGGCCTGTACCAAAGCACGGCAAGGTAAAGGGTAGAAGTTTTAAAGTAACCAGCTGAAGAGCAGAGTGGATGTCACAAAGCCTCCCACCATGAACGGTCAAATGGGTTGTGCCGATGATAACCATCAAGAACTCAAGAGAAGGTGAGGAATGAACATGCATTTATTGCTCTTCACATTAGTTTTGATAAAATAGATACATTTTATTTAATAAAGATCTACCCCTCCCACTTATAACAGTTTAAATGCAAAAAATCCATATGCTTGTTCCTCAAAAAATTAAAGAGTGTCCATGTGACCAGCAATTCCACTCTCAGGCACGTACACAAAGGAACTCAAAGAGATACATGAATGCCAATGTTCATAGTAGCATTATTCCTAATGGCTGAGAGGAGAAAATATACAATCTAAAGGTGAAAATAACCCGTGCCCATCAAAAGATGAGTAAACAAAATGTGGTATGTAATGGAATACTGTTCAGCCATAAAAGTGAATAAAGTTCTGATACACGCTACAGTACGGATTAACCTTGAAATATTGTGCTAAGTGGAATGAGCCAGACATAGAAGGACAGATGCTGTATTATTCCACTTACATGAGTACCTAGAATAAGCAAATTCATAGACAGATAGAGGTGACCAGGGGCTGGGGGAGGGAGGAACAGGAGTTGCCGCTTAATGGGTACAGAGTGTGCCTGGGGTCATGGAAAAGTTCTGGAAATAGACAGTGGTTGTGGCTGCACACACTGTGAATGTATTTAATGTCACTGAAGTGTATGCTTAAACATAAACGGCAAATTTTTTTTATCACAATTAAAAAAATTAATGTAAAATTCCCAAACCACTGAATTATATACTTTAAGTGAGTGATTTGTATGGCATGCGAACTATATCTCCATTTTTAAAAAGTCTATATGCTTATTCAGAAACAAAAAAGGGTGGGTATGGCACTGAGATCGGGCCCAAGAATCAGAAAGTGGGGCAGCAGGAAAGATCCCCGAACCTCTGAAGTCGGGAGCAGGAGTCATGAGCAGTGGACATTGTGGAAGCTGTGGCATCAGGAGGAGGGAACCCGGAAAGAGGGTGAGCTGCTTCAAAAAGACCAAGACCAGGGAGACCTGCACTGGTTTTCTGTGGTGGGTGGGGCTGGGCAAAGGGAAACCCACCAGTCTGTGAGTGTCTGTTGTGTAGAAATATGCTATTAAAGGGAACCCCACCCCACCCCGCACCGAATCAAGCTCCCAGCTCCTGGGGGATGCTGGGAGGCGGCGCTGCCCTGCCTTTGCTCTCAGCTCCATCAGAGCCAGTTCTGCGTGACGGGTTCTGCTGAAAGTGTGTCTGGGGTGGTGGCCCCACATGAAGACAGGGCTGGCTCCCAGCTGTGTCCCGAGAGTGGTGTCTAGTTCCTGCTCTGCTGCCCACTGTTGTGACCTTGGACAGTGGCCTGGATGTTGGTGTGACCTTGGACATATTTCAAAGTCTTCACTCAAATTTGGAAATTGTGGAGAAGTTTCAGCTCAATATGAGTAAGAATTTTCTGACAACTGAACTGTCTGAACATACACTTCATGCATCAGTGAGCGTGCTGTCACTCGGGATGGCGTTCTGCAAGTCTAGAACACCTGGCAGCTTGGTCCAGGTGACCTGTGAGAAGCTAGGGCCATGTCCTCGTGGTGTGAACCTTCCCACCAGAGAGGCTGAAGAATCTGGCTGTCCGTGTCTCGATTTCTATCCAGGAGTGTGGGATAAAGCCTCTCTAAGCTAATGAGTCTCCTCCCTTTTACAGGAGCTGGGAGGCCCCTCTGCCTAATGAGCAAATAAGTGCAATACAGTCTAAGGGTAATTCTTTACTTTCTTGGATCTACACAAGACAGGTTTGGAAGAGGTGAATTTATTTGATACTTTTTCATTTTATTTTTTGTTAGTCCCCACTTGAGGATATTTTTTTCATTGCTTCTCAGAGAGAGTGAAAGGAAGGGAGGGGAAGAAAGAGAGAGAGAGAGAGAGAGAGATAGAGAGAGACAGACAGACAGACAGACATTGATGTGAGACAGACACATCAACTGGCTGCCTCCAGCATTCGCCCCAACTGGAGGGTGGGGGTAAGGAGTGAACCCACAACCCAGGTATGTGCCCTTGACCGGGAATCGAACCTACAACCCTTTGGTGCACAGCTGTAGCTCTAACCACTTAGCAACACCAGTCAGTCCTGATAGCTGTTTTTAATCTCTCCTATTGTTAGAAATATCTGTGTTCTCCCTGATTATACTATGCAGATTAGAGAACAAATGGGAAGCTACTAAATGAGTCATCTTAAAAATGAGCATGCATTATTACTATGGATTCTTTAGGCGCGTATGCACTGATTCTACTGGGATTCATTCCAGGATAGTGTCTAATTATTATTGATCGCTAATCAATCCCATTATGAATTGGTTAATGGAAGAGAGAGAGAGGGAGGGAGGGAGACAGACAGAGTAGAATGAAAAATATTTGCTTAATGGCCTTAATAGAACATCATTTCTGAATAAAAGAACAAAGCCACCAGAGTTCACAATTGCATTGTGTTGTCATGGCAATAGATGATTTTCATCATTTTAAAATGATGAAAAGAAATAAGGAGATAAGCAGTAAAGAAACCAGCCCCAGTGGAGAAAACACTGCGGCAAGGTCAGATACAAACCTGCGAGCCCTGCCTGCAGGGCCCTGCCTGGAATGCGTTCCTGATTTCTATTTGCCAGTCCCGGTCAATTCCATCCTTCAAGACCAGGGTCAAAACTCATCTCCACCAATAAACCTTCCATGGCTTACTTCACTCCTCTGACTCCACAGTCAATGCTACATGTGAAAAACACTCCTCTTCTATCACGATGACACTGATTACAAAGACTAGGTAACATTTACTGGGGGCACAACGACTGTTCAAAGTGCTTCCCGTGTGTTGTCTCCTCTAACGCTCACAGCGAGAAAGAATATTCCAACTCTAGTTTTAAGAACCATGAACTTCAGATGTGGAGAGCTTAGGTCACTTGCTTGTTCAAGGTCACATGGCTAGTTAGGGACAGAGTCAGATTTGAACCAAGAGCCAGCATTCTCTCTGTTTTTTTGGTGACAGAGCATGGTCTTAACTTTATTTATTTTTTAAGTTTTATTGTGATAAGAATATTTAACACGAGACCTACCCTCCTAATAAAATTTAAGTATTGTTGACTACTGTGCAATGTTGTGCAGATCTCTAGACTGGATTCATCTTGCTCAGATACAACTTATGCCCATTGATTACCAAGTCCCCATTTCCCTACCGACAGCCCCTGGCCATCAAGAGTCGACTCCTTGATTCTATGAATTTGACTATTTTTATGTGTCCAGAGTCTGTGTCAACTCAAATCTCATTCTTCAGAAATGACATTCTAGTCTCGTCAATTGTCAGGGTTTTAAGTGGCTTCTGCTTTTTCCTGGTTGTGGCGAAGGGCTGGGTCAGGCTGTTGGGCCCGTCTTGTGCCGAAAGCTATGTGTGGCCAGGCTGCTACAGGCCGGGGCCAGGCTGGGGCTGGGAAGAGCCTTTCTCTTTGTAAAGGAACCACCTGAGCCCCTCAGGCTGGGGGCTGAGGGGCATGAGGCTCTGGGGACAACGGAGTACTGACTCAACTCAGGGCTCTATCAGAAAGGAAACTGAGGCCAGTCCTGGAGTAGGCAGGTGGGGAGTGAAGCACGGTGCCTGGCACCCCTGACACCAAGGCCCCTCTGGCCCCTGGGGTGATGCGAGGACCGGAAGTGCTCCGTTACATTCCTTGAGACACACTGAACAGCAGGCTGAGCCATTAAACAGAAAAGACGACACTCAGACAGACACCAGCCCTCCCATGAAACAGCAAAGCACTGAGAACTATAGCAAGAATGCTTCAATCACCCTATCTGTACATTTCACAGTGATCTCAAGTGTGGGAATTTATTTTCTGACCAAAACGATTTGTGATGACTAATTAGTGGCATTATATCCAATCAGAAATTAATAATTCAGGCCTACAGGCGGATGTTAAGCTTCGTATCCAGCTGTGGGATGCGTGCTGACTGGCAGTGCTGGGCTTGGGAGCAGGCCTCCCTTCCCTAGCCCTCAGTCCTCATGTGAGGAGCCAGCAGGCTGGGGTCATGAAGCTTGGGATCTATATGATCCTGAGGCCAGTGGGGTGCAGAGAGCCAGGGGACCGACTGTGCCAGAGGGGCAGGAAAAGAGGCTCTGGCGCCAGGGCTAATAGTCGTGCAAGTACTGTATTAAATATTTCTTCCCTCTTCCTGGGAGCGCATGGAGAGTGAAATGAGTTCTCACTACTTGGAATAAACAGCAATGCTCTCTGGGTAAGAGCCAACTGGCAGTTTGAAAGATTGGGTTAATCAGACACAGGGAAATTTCTGATTAATTGGACAATTATTTCGAATTCTGAGAGAGCCAAGGCGATATTGGAGAAATATTTCGACCAACGGGAAATAAATTCAATAGCCTGAGGCAGACAGAGCTTTGTAAGCTTACAGGGATTGAAATACACTGGCATCCTGTGTCTGGTTTTTACGGTCTCAAGTCTCCCAAATGAATAGGGCCCATAACTATTTTTTAATTCTCAAGGGATTCCGAATTATTTTGGCTTTAAACAGTTATGGAAAGTCTGTTAGACAGTCCCCTGAAATCACGTCAGGGCTCTAGGGCAGGGTGAAACCACAATTTGGGGGCCAGGAGAGAGGGACCTTCATGTTTGATGATGGAAAGTGGCCCAGACGAGCTGTCCTGGTCCTTTCTGGGAGTCTGACGGTGACGCGTCTCACCTGGTGGGAGCGTGCTTCTGTTCCTCCTCCTCGTCCGTGTCGCTGCTGATGGTGATGACGCTGACCGTGGGGCTGGGTGTGTCTGGAATGACAATGGTCTGCCGCTGCCTCTCCCTGGTGGTGCTGGAGGCGCCGTCGCCCCAGCCGCATGTGACAGAGGAGCTGCAGGCCGGGCTGCTGTGCACCAGGGCGCAGCGGGGCGGCGTGTTCTCCTTGACGCGCTTGGACCGCTGAGGGGAGCTGAGGGCCTGAGAGGAGGACACCTCACAGGTGGAGACGTTTCTGTAAGGACAAAGCCACACACACTCAGGGAGGAAGGTCAGCCCAGAGCATCTTCCTAGGAGCAAACTGCCCAGAAGTCCCAGCTTTGCCAGATCTCCATAGAAAAGTCAGAGGCCAGGGCACTTGGACTTCACCTGTCACTGCAGAAGCGGCAGCCGCTACACAGAGGGGACAGCAGCCTGCCTCCTCGGGGCTCTGGTTTGGCTCCATGTGCCTGCTCCCAGCAGGACAAAGGGAACAGCCAGGGCTGAGGACAGGAGGGATTGTGCCCATGGACTGGGCTGATCTTGTGGAGTCACATTTAATGCCCAGGATTTAAGGGGTGTCTGCCCCAACACAGCCCTGTCTTCAGGGTCCAGGCCTGACTTCCCGAGCTCCATCCTGTCATCCTCCCAAATGTATTTAGGTCTTCTTTGGGAGAGAGGTGGAAGAAATTTGACACATAAAGCTTTGGTTTCCTCACTGATAGCTGGTTTACCATTTAATAAACTAAAGCACTGATTTCTTAGGAGTTTCTGAATCTAATGGATCGAATATTGGCGGTTAGCTCTCCCTCCTGCTTTCTCTGGGAAAGGGACATGACCATGAAAGCATCCGTGTGTGTATAATGTTTTTAAATGAATTTTTTTTTTTTTTTTTTTTTTTTTTTTTAGATAGAGGGTGAGAGAGATCGATGTTCTACATCTTTATGGGTTCATTGGTTGATTCTTATATGTGCCCTGTAAGCTAGGTGTATTGGGATGACGCTCTAACTAACTGAGCTAGCCAGCCAGGGCCTATCATTCTTATTTCCAAAAAAGATTCTTCTGGATTTAGACACTGAACCTCATAGGAAGCTTACCAGTCTGTTTCAACTGTAATGAAAAATTCGGAAAAGTGCAAGAGGAAAAAGTATGCTTAAAGAGGGACCTTTTAATATTGATTTTGATTTACTTAAAATTCCTTATCAAATTAGCCAATGTAGCTCCATCTGGTTTGGCTCAGTGGATAGAGCATTGGCCTGACTGAAGGGTCTGGGTTTTGATTCCAGTCAAGGGCAAATGCCTCAGTTGCAGGCTCAATCCCCAGCCCTGGTCAGGGCATGTGAGGGAGGGAACCAATTAATATGTCTCTCTCACACTGATGTTTCTCTCTCTGTCTCTCCTGTTCACCATCTCTAGAAAAAACACACACAAAACAATGGAAAAATATCCTCAGGTGAGGATTAACAACAACAAATTAGCCAATGTAGTTTCTGGTAACTTTAGGGGAAAATTCCCTTACTTTCCCCCTCTTCTCCATCAATCCTTGAGACAAAGCCAACCTATAATGAAACTGAAGACTCTGATACGTCCTTAGAGATTCTAGCACCTTCTAGCTAACGGGGTGGCCGTAAGATGAGAATTTGTAAAGGTAGATCTATTTAATTTTCTATTTAGTTGGTATCAGATAAGATGCTTGCTCCTTTTTGGGGGCTGGGAATATTTTTTACTGATAAGATGGTTCTATTGTTTGTACTTGCCATACTACTTGTTACTGGTAACATGTTACAATTTTGAGATTACGTTTCACTACGTCAGTGGTTAAAATACCTCCAGTGGGCATTATTAAAGAGAAGTATGCCTCGCTGCACCACCCAACAAGGGAGAGCATCCTGGTCTTTCAGGCTGTTCTGCCAAAGCAGTGGTCTAAAAAATAGGCAAATACATAACTTTCACTATAATCATATTGCTCTTGAAATGCAGAAGCAATGAGTCTCATAACACCAGCTGCGTGGGGAGCAGGCACCAGGGAAGGACTTGTGAAGTTTGGGAAGCAAAGGGTTCTTCTGTCGGTGATGCTCAGGTCAGCTCTGGGTCAGACCAGATTTGTGCGTGCTGGCCCATGGCTGGGCACGCAGTGTGAGGACTGAGATGGTGGCCGTTTCTGCCGCCTGATCTAATAACGACAGGGGTTGTCACAGGGCTGCCAGACTCAAGTGTCCTGGATGGCTGCCACTGATCTGAGGTGAATCTCCCTGAGTTGTCAGCAGCACCCAACTAAGAAATCTTGAAAGGTGACAACTTGAGGGAGTGAGCTCTTGGATTAATTTCTGAATGGGTACGTAAAAGGCAGGGCTACTTTCTGGCGCCTGGCTATATGAGGAAGTAGGAGGCCAAACTTTTAGCCATTTCATATACTGGACCTCTCTTGATTAACCCATCCCAAATAAGCAACTGGATACTCTGGTTTCTCTTCAGATCGCATAAATCTTTCGCCTTTTACCAAATAAGCAACTGGGTACGGCGACCTCAGTGCCACCAGGGAGAAATGCAGGTAATTCTGCAGCGGCACCATCTTGATTTCGATCTTGTTTGGAAAACTCTTTGTTATTTTCATCCCCCTAAAAGTCCCCTCATGATCCTTCCCTGTCAGCCCCTCCCCTCCTGCCCTCCTCCCCGGCAACTCCCGAGCTGATCTCCGTCTCCAGTTTCGCCTTTTCCAAAGGCCATATATACAGGGTGTCCCCCCGAAAATGTATACACACTCCAACAGCTGACAGCTGCAATGTTTTAAATAAACACTGCCCTTATAATTAAAGTGTGTCTTGAAATGCACTAGCAATGAGTCTCATAACACCAGCTGGGGGTGGGGTGGGGGTGAGGGGGGCACCATGTATACAGAATCACAGCATGTGGCCTTTCGCCAGCCTTGACTTTGGAGTCCCCGGGATGAGACCGGGTTTACAGGGACCGGCAAGATGGCTGTTCCGGCTAATTCTAGGATTAATCAAGTTACTGCTTACCCTGAACAGCTAAATAACTTCAATTTCTCACCTTAGATTTCCAGGGGGAAAAAAAAGCACATTTTAAAGAAAAGTTATTGTTTCCAAAGTGCAATTTCAGAGGCGAGCCTGAGCGTTTTCCAGAGAAGTGAAGGGGGACGGAATGGCTCAGGGCCTGGCACTCAACCTGAGCCCGGCCCGCGGGGGTGCCGCGTGGGGTGCCGGGTGCCCGGAGGGCCGACCCGCGCAGACCAGACCTGAGAGCGCGCCTCCCTCCCAGCGCCGTGCGGCCACGCGGTTACCGTGTCTCCGCCACTCCTGGCGCCAGGCGATGCCCCGACGCCCGCCCAGAGGTTTCTCACCGCCGGGCCCACGCCCCACCCACCTCGCAGACGACTGGTGCTGCTTGCTCTTCCGGGAGGAGGTGGTGCTGGTTGGCTGCTGCCGCATCACGTGGGCCACGCCCACATTTAAGGGCTGGGCTGCTGGGAGGGTCACGTGACCAGTCAAGAGCGCGGGCTGCTGCATGATGGGATTGTAATGGCTGCCGTGAGCGTGCGTGTTCCTGAAAGAGAGATGGGAAAACAAGGCTTTTTATTGGTTTTACAAACACAGGGCTTCTTCTTCTTCTTTTTTTTAAAGGGATTTTATTTATTTTTAAAATATATTTCTTTATTGGTTTCAGAGAGGAAGGGAGGAGAGAGAGAGAGAGAAACATCAATGATGAGAGAGAATCATGGATCAGCTGCCTCCTGCACGCCCCCCACTGAGGATCGAGCCTGCAACCCAGGCATGTGCCCTTGACCGGAATTGAACCCGGGACCCTTCAGTCCGCAGGCTGACACTCTATCCACTGAGCTAAGCCGGCCAGGGCTTCTTTTTTAAGATAAAGTATCCTCCCCAGTTAGAAGGCAAATTAACCCCCCAAATTGGTTGTGTTGCTGGCTGTGGGCTAGTGAAGGGATGAGCCTCACCCAGTGAGCTCATCAGGTGAGTTTCCCGGGCAGGGAAGTGTCAGGGCTGTTCCAAAGGAGGGGCAGGAACCCCACTTGGTAAGAAAGAGGAAGAATGAATGCCAAGTACGCAGGCTCAGCCCAGGTCCCGGGAGAGCAGATACACATTCCCTCCAACTTCCACGGAACTTACACACGGCCTTCAGTGGGCTGGCCACTCTGCGAGGCAGGCGGGGTGTGGCAGTGATGCCCTCTTATCCGTGAGGACATTGCAGTTTATGTGGCAAACGCTGCAGACTGGCAGCCATTGTGTTTGATGTTGAGTGTTAACATGCTATTGAATTCTCTCAGTGGCCAGCTCAGTGTTCAGGCAGGTAAGGGCTGATGAATTTATTACATGCCGAATGAACAATGAGAGCAACTGAAGGTTGCCTATATACATACACTGAGTGGCCAGATAATTATGACCACCCCATCAGTACTTCCCTGACACTTCCAAAAATACTGAATATTGAAAACGTCCTAAGCAAATACTCTCAAGGTTTTATTATTATTATTATTATTTGCATAACTAATTCACTTCATTGTACTGATGGGGTGGTCATAATAATCTGGCCACTGTGTGTGTGTGTGTGTGTGTGTGTGTGTGTGTGTGTGTATAGAGAGAACTTGGAATTAAATCAAGATAAATAACAGCCATACATGCTGATAGTAATGCTGGTAGCCATTATCTTGAAAATGGGTTATGTTTCAAAAGCTCTTATGATCTGGGTTGTATGGAGCTCAAAGACTTGTTTTCCCACAGAAATTTTGAAAGTGGTGATTAATTCAGAGGCTTGCCCATAAAAGCCCACTTAATACATAAACAAAATTAAAAGCTATAAGATAATTCATTTGAATTTTTAAAATATTGTAAAATTTATCTTTGCAACTTGGGGGAAATGAATAGAAAAAAAAGAAGAGGGAGACACTTTTGTAGAGATTTGATAATGTCTTTTGAACCTTTACAGGGGTTTTAGAAACTGATGTTATAGCTTCTTTATTTTGTTTTTGCTATTTCTTCTACAGACACGGTTCTCTTTTTCCATTGATACAGGCTCTAGTACTGGTACTTGTCTTTTGTTTATTAGCCATGATTATGGATGTTCTTTGGTCTACGCATGAAATGGAGAAAGAAAGAGTGCAGGCTTTCAGTGTTTTCTGCCGTAACCAGGTAAGAGGAGGGATGAGGAATAAGAGAATACGCATGGATCAGTGAATATGTGAGTATTGCTGAAATGAAATGAACTATAATGCTGATAATGGGAAAACAAAAAAGAGTACAATATATATGTGGTCTTTTAGGAGAAAAAGGGGTGAGGAAGAACAACTGGTCAAACAGCTTCCCATTTGGTGGTTGTTCCTAATGAGCTGGAGAGGGAAGATGGTCTTTCTGAGCATGAACCGATGCCAACGGGGGAAGGGAGGACAGATTTATTTATCGCCCGTCATGTATCAGGCATTGGTATGGTACATATTAAATACAGGTCAAGTGCTTTGTATTTTAATTTCAGCCTCTAACAATCCTGTGAGGATTGTTATACCCACTCTACGGAAGAAGAAACTGAGGCTCATAGAGGTTAAGTAGCTTGCCCAGGTCATGCAGAGCCAGAACTGAATCCCGTTTTACCTGGTTTGAAAGTATTTCTAATGAGTGGGGGTGTTCTTAGGGGAGGTGTAGTCAGTGAGAAGTGGGTGCGGCTGTGGGAAAGAGCCTATGTACTCTCTTCACGAGTCAGAAAATTAAATGAGGAGTGGAGGAACCTGTAGTTGAGGCTTGACTGGGGGCTTGTATCTCTATATTTCTCTACGTTTTACTGAGAGCTGTTCATTCGCAATAGTCTTTTAGGTCAGAGAGGGAACTGTGGGGGAGGCCACATGGCCGGTATGGAGCCTGTCAGAGGGGAGGGGTATGACCTGCCCCAGTGTTTGGGCCGAATGGGAAACAGCCCAAACTATCTCTCATGGGGGATGGGAAGCTGGGGACAACGTGGGAGGGGTTGCCATGTGGCTCTGCGCTGGTGAAGGGGGGCATGTGGTGGTGCTGGGATGGTGTGGTGAGGAAGTCAGAGAGTGGGGTGGGGTATGTTCTGAAAACAGATGCTGGGGTGGCGTGCTGGTGGCTGCTAGCCGGATGCTGCTGGGGTCCGTGGAGAGCGGACTTCGAGCTTAACTATTAACCGAAAGCCACACTCAGCAGAGTCTACCATTTGAAATAAATCCTGTTCTGTCAAGCCTTCCCCTGGGAGAACTGAGAAGGCTCCAATGTGTCCACATCGCAAAACACCCTGAGAACACTTCCTAGAATCGCTGAGGAACCTTGGGGACTCTCTTCTGCATTCTTTCACTGGTGATAAATCTTCGATTTTTGGGAGTGGAATTTAATTCTGAGAAACAAAAAATCATCCGGAGCCAAGTGTCGTGAATTATACTGGTGATTAAATGATGTCACTGAATTTTGGGTCAAAAGTGATAACTGACCATAAAGTAATGAAGCTGATTTTCTTGTTTCCTGGCACACTTATTTAAAAATTACATCTCCTTACATTATAGTCATATTCCACATAATAGTCTTCTTAATTTAAAAAATTATATGTGAACCAGGAATTCAGGTACAGGCCAGAGCAGCAGCTTTCAGGGTCCATGGTGGACCTGCCTCCCAGGCCAGACACACCAGCTTTCCTGCTTACCTCCAGTCGGCCAACTGCTGGGTGCCTGCCATGGTCTCAGGAATCACAGTCGCATGCTGCACTGATGTGTGGGTGGCCACTCCAGTCAGCTGCTGCCACGCCGGCGGAAGCAGGATCTGCTGGGTCCCACTTGGCCAGGCCTGCTGTAGAGCGAAGGATGTTTGCAATCAGCATGTTTGTTAATCACAGGATCAATTTGCATGATCCAAACACTCAGTATGCTAGACCCTATGATAGGTGTAAAAGAGGAGACCTGGTCTTTGATCGGCTAGAAGAATGTAAAAAACTTATTATTGCAAGGACAGAGTCTACAAGGATCAGGCAAGCAGACATCTCCACATGTTGGAGGGCTCTGAGTTTCTGTTCCAGCCTCGCTAGTGAAAGTGGGTTTTGGATCCTGCCATTTGAAGAGTGACATAAATTAAGTTCTGTCTCAATCAAGAACTGTACTTCCCATCTCTCCACCTTTACCTACTCACTCACCATGATGGTGGTCAAGATGTTAGCTCTGGGTAGGGGTTTGGGAGCATAGAGGTGACCGCAGCTTTTAGGCAGTATCAAAACAGCATTATTGTTAAGGCAATCCGTAAAGATCACTCTCATGTCTCTGAAAGGAGGGCGCAAGATCACACCCTTTCCTTCTACGCACACATCCTCAGGGTGCCACAGAGGGTCTGTTCCCTTTAAGGACGTGATGCTGCTGGGAGGTGGGGAGGAAAAGGGCAAAGCAAACAAAACTAACATGAGGAATGGATTTGAAAGACACCCTCTCTAAACTTGCACAAATCAAATCCTTGAAAAGGTTTAAATATTTAGATAAGAAGAATGATGCCAATTTTCTGAATATATTTAAAGTAATTAATAGTATTTGGAGGGCTTCTGCCTGAAACCTAGAAATTTACCCAGAGAAAAATGAAGGCATCAGTTTAAACGTTTAATTATTGCTTTTCCTTATAGTTATCATACTCATTTTTATAAGATAGCTTATTTTTGTCCTTTGAAGGGACCATTTAAAAATATTTAGGGGAGAGCTCCACTGTAACAGGCTAACATATTGGCAGGGATTAAGTGACAAGCAGAGAAAAAACTAAAAAGCAACCAACAAACAAAAGACCCAACATGACACTGGATAGGGTAGGAATTTTTTACTTCGTAGATTTTAGAACTCTTTGCATGTGAAGACGCACTAGTCTACCTTGTCCTTTTTAATGCATGGTGTTCCATTTTATGCACACACGAATTTAACAAATCTCCTACAAATGAACATTCAACTGGTTTCCAGCAGTTCCCTGTTATATACACTGTAGCAATTAACACACACACACACACACACACACGCTTTTTGTTCACTTTCCCAATGACAGCTTTAGGTTAAATCCACTTGGAGATTTATAATACTCTAGGGACCCTTTTCCATGTGAGCAAAAGGTAAAACTCTCCTTTGCTATGACTAAAGATGGATGCTGAGCCTGTTGGTTTCCACAAAACTGAACAGTGAAGAATGTCTATATTAGCTAATAAGAGATGCTAATGTAGCCCTGGCTGGTTTGGCTCTGTGGATAGAGCGTCGACCTGCAGACTGAAGGGTCCTGGGTTCGTTTCCCGGTCAAGGGCACATGCCCAGGTTGCGGGCTCGATCCCCAGTGGGGGGCGTGCAGGAGGCAGCCGATCCATGATTCTCTCTCATCATGGATGTTTCTATCTCTCTCTTCCCTCTCCCTCCCTCTGTTTCTAAATATCAATAAAAAATATTTAAAAAAAGAGATGCTAATGTAATTTCTTTCAGAGATAGTTCTGGGCTTACAAGGGTTAACTGTGCAAACACAAAAAGAGGATTAAAAGTACCCTTTAATATGCATGTGAATCTCTAGATTTTGGCTTACAGAGGAGTAGCATTGGGAGACTGGCCTGGATTTCTGCTACTCAGATAAAGTACGAACAAGCTACTTTGCTTTGGAATGAGCTATAGTTCTTTCTCTTGATCTACCTTGGCCTTTTCTGAATGCCCTGCTACCAAACTGTGCAAACAGAAGGAAGCTATGAGGACTAGTGCGAGAGGCAGGACTAGAAGGCCTGCTTTAAATATAGAAGGTTCTCTGTTTATAATGACCCAAAAGATAAGACTTTGCCTATAGGACAGTGATGGCGAATCTTTTGAGCTCGGCGTGTCAGCATTTTGAAAAACCCTAACTTAACTCTGGTGCCGTGTCACATATAGAAATTTTTTAATATTTGCAACCATAGTAAAACAAAGACTTATATTTTTGATATTTATTTTATATGTTTAAATGCCATTTAACAAAGAAAAATCAACCAAAAAAAATGAGTTCGCGTGTCACCTCTCACACGCATGTCATAGGTTCGCCATCACTGCTCTAGGAGCTGGTGTCAGTGGTCACTTGCAGTATGAATTTGGAACAACAAAGAGATGAAGGATGGTTAATATCAACCTTAACCAAGCTGTTTCAGAAAACAGAAGAAGAGGTAATAATCAACATATTTTATGAGGCTAGGGAAACCTTGATGCCCAAATCAAATAAGGATTCTCTAAGAGAAAGAAATTACATGCCATTTCTTACTTATGAACACAGATGCAAAAGTACTAACTACAGTATTTACAAACAATCCAGTATTGGAAAGCATACAAACATATCAAACACAACATGATCAAATAAAGTTTATCTCGGAAACACAGGATAGTTGAACACTGCAAATCTATTAAGCAACTTGCTACATTAACAGATTAAGGAACAAAAATGTGAGTATTTCAACAGATGCAGGAAGAACATTTGGTATTATTTCATTAAAAATTAGCGAACTTGATAAAGTGTCTTTATCAACTATCCTAAACAAAATACCAAATGGCAAACAGCTAAAAGAATTTCCTTTAAAGTTAAGCATGCCCAATATCAACACTTATTAAATATTGTTTTGGAGGTGCTGTCAGAACAGTGATAGGAGAACAAAAAATAAAAGGTATAAGGATTGTAAAGGAAGAAACAAAACTATCATATGCAAATACAAAGATAGTCCACATAGAAAATCCAAGGGTATCCATAGAAACAATCAGAACTAAACAGAGTTTAGATAAACTCAATAGACCAAAATCAGTATATTCCTATACACCAAAGACAAATAATTAAAATATATAGTGAATGAAATTATTAATGACAACAAAAACTATAAAATATTTAGGAATATTCCAACAAAAGAAAACTCTAATGAAAGGAATAAAAGGTAACATATACAGTTGTACCATATTCAGGGATGGAATGACTTAATCCTTAATCTTATTAAACTGTCAGTTCCTAAAGTAAATATAAATTTTAGTCAAGTTCAAGAAATACAAACCAACACTTTTTTTGTGTGTGGGACTAAAATTTTTATGTAGGAGTAATCTTTAAATTCACATGGAAAAGTGAAGGGACAAGCATAGACAAGGAAATTTGGAGGAATGCGATCCCTACTAGATACCAAGACATATTATAATTAGAACAGTTAAGACAATAGGATATTAGGCCAATGGAATGGAATAGAGAGCCCCAAACAACTATGCAACTTGACTACACTAACATGAAAACCGCAAACTTCTATTAAACAAAGGACACCATAAAGTGTTTTTGGAAACGCTTTGAGAAAAGCCTTTGGGAACCTGCCTTATTTAAAGGTGCTTATGGGGGTGGGTGGAAGAGGGCATAGAGGGGATAAATGGTGATGGAAAAAAACAAAATAAAAATAAAGGTGCTTCAACAACACTGGGGTCAAGCTGTCCTCGCAGCAACAACGGAAATGATCACATGGAAGCAGTCTAGCATGGGGGTAAATACAGATGCTGGTGTCATACTTCTGGGGTTTGTGTCCTGGTTCCGTTACCTAATTGCTATGTGACGTTGTGCCAGTGATTGTGCCTCATCTTCCATTGTTGTCAAAAGGCGGCAAATATCTTATTGTGTTGTGGGGCTTAAATAAAACATAACTAAAGAACCTGGCATAATGATGATGTATCTGTTATTAAAGTTCGTGTCATTACTATGACCGTTGTATCACTGTGTTACCTTAAATTTCCATAACACTTTACAAATTTTCATCACTTTCACCTCCATGATCTCATTCTACCATCAGAGCACATATATGAACAGAGAAGGAAGGTTCCAGCTCACTGCTTCTGTAACCCTGTTTCAACTATAAAATAAATCACCTCCAAGGCTTATTTGGCTCTAAAAAATAATTTCTATTTTACAAGAAGGAAATTTGGGGCAAAGAAATGTTCGATGAGAGTTATTAGTAGAGTCACAGAGAGTTATTAGTAGAGTTAGGATTAAAACCTGGGTCTCCTATATTAATGTGCATTACAAAGACACAATAATAATCTCCCTAGATTCTCCCTCTGTCTAAATTTCTTCTTGGAATTGTAAGCTAGGCACTTAGGAAGATAATTCACTCGGGCATCATGCAGAATATTACAGAGATATTCTAATGACTCGAAGCACCTAATTCATTGCCAGGGAGGGAATTAGCAGAGGTACATCTCTTTTGTGGAAAACATTAACAGGGATAATGGCAATACGGGGAATCATAAAGAGAGAATTACCTGGGCAAGCAGACCTGGTTGGATCTGAAGAGGCTGAGCTCCTGGGGCTTGAGTGACGATGGGAACAGCATTTTCCATTCGCACGGAATAGCCAGCATGCTTCGAGGGAGAGGCCTGCAGCCCTGCTCCAGACAGTGGGCGAGGGAGAGAGGGGTTGAGTGATGCGAGCAAGCTGGCGGAAGACAGCTCTCCCCTCCTCTCCACGCCGGTCCCCTCCAGGCATTGCCTGGTCCTTAGGACTCTCCCCTTTCGTTTCTAACTTAAATTAGAAACCAAAAGCAAAAAAAACAACCTTGAATGGGTTAAAAGACTAGAAGTGAAATCAAGGAGTCTGTAAAGCCAAAAGTGGAATGTTATGCTGACAAGTCACAACAGGAAAACGTGCTTCTGACAGGAAGACACGTGTGCGTCACTACGTCACAGCCGGTGTGGGGAGGGAACAGAGGAGTCCATCTGGAGTGGCCCTGACTCTGAAACTGGGCCCGACACATGCTTGCCCCTGTGGGGCTTGCCACAACAGATTCCTGGGCTTTCTGTGTAAACTGTAGCCAAGTACGTGGTCAACTCTAGCTTCATAGAGGCTCCAGGAGGAGTGTGTTGGGCGTATGGCTGAAGAATCAGCAGGGGTAGCCTGGGATGTCTGTTTTTCATGAGAACTGGCTGCCTTGGCAGTCAGGGATTGGCACAGATGAGCCACACGGAGGATATTTCATGTGAGGTGTCCAAGAGCTGATACCAGCATGACAATGGGAGCACAACAGTGTGCTTATTTAAAGACAGTCATTCCGGGACAAATCACTGGCAGGTGGTGAGAATAACAGTCCCACTGTTTCTCGGCTGGCCACAGTTCAGGGATGCCAGTGCCCATGGAAAGCAATGAAGAGGGCCTTACGCCAGGGAAGTTGGCATGACAGAGCCCTGCGGTGTCAGAGCCCCTGAGGTGGTCCGGTCAGAAGCAGTGAGAGGTGGTGTCTGCTCACCCTTACCTTGGAAGCCGGGAGGACACACGATGAGAGCTTGCTGGAAGGGGTCCGGCCGGGCACAAATCTGGGCTGTTCCCGCCTGCAGGGGCATGCTCCGCTGGGCCACCGCAGCCATGGATGCCGCTGAGGGCTGGTAGAGTGCAGATTGGTAGTTTAGTATGGAGACCTCGGGATTGGCTAAGGAAATAGTGGCACTGGTGGAGGTGGGAGCCTAAAGGAATGATGGGGATTAAACAAAAATAAAAAAAAATAAAAAATGAGGGTGGTGGCAGGTTGGGAAACACGAATCTAAGTCAAATAAATGAACTCAAAGAAGAACAAACAAACAAAAACCAAGGGCAAAGAAGCAGAAATAGAGGGGAGTGGAAATTCGGTTGGAAAGTCTCAAGGAGAAGCAGGTGGCTGCAGCCACGTGACGTCACCTTTGGTATACTGTTCTTGATGTTTGTGGGGCCCAGGCAAGAGAGCAAACGATGCTCCCAGTCCACATGTCTAAACACTACAAAGTTAAAAATCAGACTAGAGATGATTTATGTTCTGCCCTCCACTGTGGCAAACATATCTTCAAAACACCGTGGAAAGCCAGGTTTGAGTTTAGGATTCCTGGATTCCTTGGGTTCTGCCCTGGAACATAGTGACAGGGGCACGCTGAACCCCTGCTCTGTCCCACACTTGAGGGGCTTGGGGTGCACATACATGGACCTGAGGGTACAGCCCAGGAAGAGGCACCTGCAGGCCCAGGGCACACATGCCTGGAGAGGGCTGGGGGCAGCACTGGTTACAGAGACCCTCAGATGGCCGCACAGCAGTTACTGCAAAGAAATACGCTAAACCAGTGATGGCGAACCTCTGACACGCGTGTCAGAGGTGACACGTGAACTCATTTTTTTTTGTTGATTTTTCTTTGTTAAATGGCATTTAAATATATAAAATAAATATCAAAAATATAAGTCTTTGTTTCACTATGGTTGCAAATATAAAAACATTTCTATATGTGACACGGCACCAGAGTTAAGTTAGGGTTTTTCAAAATGCTGACACGCCGAGCTCAAAAGGTTTGCCATCACTGCGCTACACAAACAGAGAGGGAGAGGCACACTGAGAGAGAAAAGATGTTAGGTCAAGAGAATTGAAGTGGAGATAGGTTAGACTGTCGGGGTGGGCAAACTTTTTGACTCAAGGGCCACAATGAGTTCTTAAACTGGACCGGAGGGCCGGAACAAAAGCATGGATGGAGTGTTTGTGTGAACTAATATAAATTCAAAGTAAACATCATTACATAAAAGGGTACGGTCTTTTTTTTTCAATAGTTTTATTCATTTCAAATGGGCCGGATCCGGCCCGCGGGCCGTAGTTTGCCCACGGCTGGGCTAGAGCAATTTTGAAATTATGTCCTCTCTCCTTTCTCTTTCAGAAAGCAACATCATTTGACGTCGAACTTGTATGTGAAGCAGGGAGGCAGAAGGAAAATAACTTCTAAATTGGGAATTGTCCAATTTTACCCCATCTTAGCTTTATTCACACTGATCGTCAGCATGGTAGGTGGAGGTTACCAATGGCTTCAAAGTCACCATTGCTTACAAGAGGGTTGGCCACCAGGGGTTACAAGGACCAAAGAATAAGGAGTAAAGAATCACAAGGACATCTTGGACACGTACAAGAACAGAATTACAAGAAGGGTATGTATTTGTGTCAAATTTGATAAAAAGGGTAAAGTCTCATTTTACATATTTTTTTATACCTAGATTTTATGCTGCCTTTCAGTGCAAAGCACATTTATTTGTTTGAGGGTAATTACTAAGTGATGTGATGCACGTTTGCATTTTAAGATACACATTGTAATGTTAAGTATCTGTGCAGCACCACATGGTTGGCCTCCAGGTAGTGTGAGGGGAGAGAGTGCAACACGTGTGGGCCAGTGTCCACGTTCTGTTACTGATGACGTGCCTTGTGTTTCCTCTTGGTTCTCTGCAAGTCCCCATCTCTCTGGGAGGCTTCCCCACAGACATAATTCCCACCCTCTGCTCAGACTCCACACGTCCAAGTCCAGACTCTCTGCAGGTCTTGGAGCCTTGGGCTTCCCTCTTTGGGGCACCAGTATCCTCAACTGTCCCACCTTCTGGTCAGCCACTAGGCTTGCTGCTTCTTCCTTCAAAATGTCCCTGGAACCCACTGACTCTCGTCAATCGCTACTTCCCCAGTGGAGGTCCTCTCCCGCAGGAGAGGGATGCCTGGGACTGGGAAGCTCTGACCAGAGATGTTCTGGCCTCCACTTCTTCTCTTCCAATTCTTGTTGGGCAAGAGGCTAGAGCGGTCTTTCCAAAAGACTACTTTGTGCATGTAACCCCCCGGCCCCCACCGAAGTCTCCAATTACTGCCTAATGGACACCGTCTATGCACTCTGGTCCCGCACTCCCTCTTTCCCTGGGTTTGGCCAACCTTCCCTTCTAAATTGATCTCCCTCTGCTCTGCGTGCTCTTGGCACCAGCCAGATCAATCTACGCACTGTGGTGGGGTTCTGGTGAGGAAGGACAAAACCAGGGTGAGATTTTGTCGAGGACCTCACCTGTCTGGCTGTGGATGCCTTAGGCTGAGGGCTGGGCTAGGTGCTGGGAGGGAATGTTTGTTTCTTTGCACGCTAAGGCCTAGGCGAGCTTTAGGTCTTCCCGCTCAGGAGAGCGTTCAGAACACCAGTGGCCCCCAGGGGCAGCAGATGCTGGGTGTCCTCTCCTAGAGTTTAGGCAGAGGGAGAGAGGCTAGGCTGGGAAGTACAGCCTCTCTTCTGGAGGCATGCGTGTGCGCGCATGTGAGTATACACACACAGGAGTGTTGTCACTGCAGATTGATATTAAAACTGAAAAAATCTAGGGAGACTCTTTGGGGAACTGGTCACACTGGAAGACAGAAGTAAAAGTCTCTTAGACACCAGAGACCGCCTGAGGTAGGGCCAGGAGATTATTCAGTCAATAAATATTTCCTGGTGTCATCCATATTTTAAGCAGCATGTTAGGTGCTAGATTCTGCTAATTTTCTGTGAAAGGTTGGACATCTATGGGAAGAAAACCTTAGCTTCCTGGTCCCTTTCAGTTCCAGGTGCTGGAATTCTGATGACAGACTGACTTGATTTTCCCCATGACTTGGAGAAAGGACAGGTTTCCTCTGTCCTGGAAGGAGATCACGTGGACACAGCTGTCTGGGGACAAGGAGGAGGGGCCCGAACTGGATGACTGTCAGTGTCCCAGTTCAGAACTCTTTACCAGAAGCCGGACAAGGATCGTAGCATCTCCTTTACCTTATTCCTACATCAGGACAGAGAGAAGTGGTAAGAGGTACCATCTCAGAAACAACTTCCTTAGTGAGTTGCATACAACTTGTTCAATGGGCCCCCCAGTAGACAGAAAGAGCGCCGGGAATCAAAGGAAATAACCTTGACGCAAACACCTTCTTACAGGGTTGAATGTGACAGTAGAGGAATTCTGTCTTCTGACTGGGTTGGCTGGGGAAATACAGTTCCTGCTGCTGTCCGCCCCGCCGGCCTTCTCTGCTCCCCACTTACCTGGTTGTGGACAGTGTTCAGCTGGTTGTTGAAGGTCATGGTCAGGTTGGTGGATGTGCTGGGGGCCACGTGAGTGATGAAAGGGGTTTTGCTCTGGTTCACGGTGTCATACATATTCACCCGACGCTTGCAAATCTCCATGTTCTGGAAACATGATTTGACGCTGTACATGAGAAAGGCAGAGACAGAGGTATAAGGGAAAGAGAAGAGGGTAGCATGGGATAAAAGGGAGAAAATGGCGAGAGAAAAGGAGAGAACAGTTAATCTAGTAAACAAGACAAGTGGGGAAACTTTAGGCCTAAATTTTCTGGATTTCTCATGTAAAGTCTGTGTTTGTACAGTTAACATTATTTAGGTAAGTTTTACCCTGTCTTACTGCCTGTTCTCCCCAGCCTGCATAGGTAACGGTTCTCCACAGCACAACAGACCTGATGGCTCTCGCTGCATTTTCCTCATATCGCTGATCTGTCTCCACCTTCCCTGCTCATTCTCAGCTTCCAGTATGCTTTCTGGCCCATAAACAAACGCTTAAGTTCTCATGCATGACCTGCTGCCACCTTCCACAAAGACAACTCCTTGCGCTAATCCTTCCCAGCGAGTCTGGGGCACCAGCGCCATCTAGGGGACAGCCAAGGAACTGGCCAACCCAGTATCATGACCCTGTTACCCACTTTCTCCGCACCGGAATTGGGCATGTAATGAGAACTGTAATGATATTAATAATTAGTAATAGTGGCTGACAGTGACAGAGAGCTGTGGTAGTTGTGTGCAACATTCTTGCACTCAGTCCTACAACAACCACGAGAAGGAGAGATGAGCGATGCCCCTCTTTTCGGAGTAAAGATGAGGTTTAGAGAGGACAGGTAATCTGCCAAGGTCAAGAGCTAATTACTGGCAATCTTAACATATACATATACATATACATATACATATACATATACATATACATATACATATACATATACATATACATATACATCCTCTTGAAATATAAGTGCAACCAAGTTCGTGAAAGTCCACCATAAAGTGTTCTTCAGAACTTATACCTTGTTTCTCAGTTTGTGTCTTCTTCTAATTAACCTTACTTTTCCTCAAATGCTAATATTCCAAATAAAACAGCATTTAAAGTTCAGTTTTAAATACTTATTTAATTATAATGTAATAACTGAATATAAATATGATAATTTTCTACTATTTTAAGATTACAAAGGTAATACTGTTTCTGCATTCTCTAGGTAAGCTATGTTTTGGGCCAAGCAGGTGCTTGTGGGCCAGCCCACAACATCCTTCCCATAAAAGATGCTCCAAACTGTCTCAGACATGCCAGAGACTCCTCCTGCTCTCGGAGTTAAGAATTACTTACATTGGCCACACAATGCACACAAAATCATCTACTGACTGCAGGCCCTGGAGAGAAAGGAAAACGCATCCTACAGTAACCAATAGCTAAAAAAGCTAATAATGCTGGTAAGGCCAGCACGTTCTGAGCATCTGCTAAATACCAAACACACCACTAAGTGCTTCCCTATAGAGGCTGAAGGAATAAAAATATAGGTTTTATATTCCCTTTGGAATGTATGGAAAGCACTCAATAATTTTGTGACAATTCAACCAAAAGCTTTTAGACTCAGAATTTTCTAACTGAAATGGCCTGGCAGTTGCACTTTGGGTTACTTCTATGAGACTCGTTTTTAAGGAACTTGTGCAGTAGAATCCTGGTATGGAGAAATAGGTGGGTCTCTTTCACTTCTCAGTCTAGATGTTGGGGCAGCTCTGGCCCAGTCCCAAAGGTGGGGTCTACAGCAGGGCGGGCCTGGAGGGTTCTTCTCGCCCTGGAGTTCTTCTGGTCTTCCCAGCAAGTTCTAGGGGCCCTTAGGGATTAGGCCTACTCTCAGGGAGCCTCGGTGTGCTCAAAGACCTGCTTTTCCTTCTGAGGCCCATTTTCTGAGTTATAAATTGTCAGTGGTCCTCTTGGGACCCACACCAAGTTCTGAATTTGAAGCTGATGCTCGTGGTCTCCCCGCTTTGTCTTCACCAAGTACAGTGAAGCACCAGTGCTGCTTCCTCACGGAACCCAGAGATGGACAGGACCCTGTGGCCATGCAGCCGTGACTCTGACTTTATGTGGGTGATTGTCCCACTGACAGATGGCAAATGCGAATCCTCTGGAGAGCACCCCTCTGTCTCCTAGCCATAGCTCTTTCTCAGTCACCCCACTTCACCCTGAATATAAAGTGATCTTTTGGGGGCCTATTCAGTAAATCACTAAGTCTGGCTTCTCTCTGTGGGACCAAATGACACCCCCCTGAAGCACTCCTACCACACCCAGAGACAGGACAAGTACCATAACAAGAGTTTGCAAGGGATGGGTCCAGGTTCTTTCTTTGTATTGGAGTTCGGTTGTTTTAAACATGGTTCTAAATTAAAGACTCACTGTTTGTTGTAATGAGATTTGACTTGCTTAACATCAACTGATAAAGAACAGAATTGAAATTAGAGGATGTGCCGTCTGTGGCGGGCACCACCAGTCACTTCTTGTAGGCTGGCTAAGGTCAAGTCCAGCCTGAGATTCAGCCCAATATGAGTCTTGTCATGGCAGGTCAGCCATGATCTGCGAATGTCTCTCTTCCCCAGCCTCTTCTCACACATTTCCCCTTTCCCCTGAGCCTCTCTAATCCGGCGCTGTGAGCACATTGCTTCTCCCTGCAGACGTCCAGGGATGTGACTTTCATCCCACATACCTCTGGGTTGAGTGGCTGAAGTGATATCCCTGGTTACCCTGTGTTATGAATTGAACTGTGCCCTTCCCCCCAAATTCGTATGTTAAAGTTCTAACCCCTGTACTTGAGAATGTGACTGAATTTGGAGATGGGATGTTTAAAGAGGTAAAATGGGGTCAGTAGGCTGGGCCCTAGTCCAGTTCATATTGAGGAGGAAGGAAGACCATGTGAGAACACAGGGAGGAGACAGCCATCTACAAGCCAAGGAGAGAGGCCTTAGAAGAAACCAGCTCTGCCAAACCCCTTGATCTTGGACTTCTAGAATTGTAAGAAAACAAATTTCTGCTTTTTAAGCCCCTTGGCCCCTCAGTGGTATTTGCTATTGCAGACTCTGAAAACTAGTTCCTTCTCCCATTCTCTTGCCACGGCCTTTTCTCTCGCCCTCACTCACTGGGCCTGTGCCTCTGACCCAGTCTTCCACTTAACACGTGCCCTGCCACCGAGGGACTCTTCAAGGGACACACGGATTACCTGCCGGACACCCTGGCTTCTCAGTTACGTCTCACCCCGGGGCTCAGTGCTGGCTGTGGGTTCTTTGGACTATCAAACCTGATACTGCTCCACTCCCCCAGGCCACACATTCAAGTACCCCGTCCCCCAGCCACATTGTCACCCATCTGGTTCATCTGACAATAACTAAAATAGCCAGTCTGAGTTGATTAGATTGTTCAGTGTCTCTGGACCTTCTCATCTTCCTCTCCTTTTCAGCTAAGGTCCCATAGCCACCCATTGGGATTACAATGCTCTATTCCAACATCACGAGTCTGTCAATCTCTCTTTCTCTTAGTAGCCTGACAAAACTCCAACCTGGATGAACCCAACCCTCTCTTTTCTCCATGCCTTCACCTGGGGAGTTCAGTTACATCCTACTCTTCATGTCCAACCTCCATGCTCAACAATTCCACTGTATTTCTCTGTTCAATTTTCTCTGCCACCTTCTGCTCCAACTACCTAAACTCTCCTACCTAAACACCTTGCTCTCAACAAGAGAAGGCAACTGTCTGAAGAGCTCCCTCAACTTTCCTCTGCTAACCCAGCACTCCAGCCAACGTCTGCACCCTCCTTCATCCACGGTGACACTGGCCTAGTCCTCCACCTGTGCTCTGATTCCCAGCCCCTTCCACCGTCTCAGGAAACTTCTCTTCTGAGCATCTTTTATCTTTAGTTTCTCACTTAGTACCAGACACTTCCAATCAGCATTTTCAATTGCTCAAGTCTCTTCCTAAAGTCCCCTTGGGCCCTCCCCGGGCACCTCTCCATTTCTTCCCACCCCTTTCACAGTCTCCCTTCTTGAAAGGATCCTGTTTATTTCTTCACCTCCCATTCAGGCTTTCAACTGGCTAAGCTGGTTTCTGCTTCTATCATCCACTGAAACAGCTCTAAGTCACCAACAACTTCCAAGCTGCCAATGTGATGGCCATGTCTTCAGGACTCATGGACTTGACACTTTAATCAGCCAGTTCCTTCTACAGGTCCTTCGACGACTCCCCATTGCTCTTAGGATCAAGACCAAAATCCTGTACAAGGAAGGCTCGTCCCGTCTGGTCCTGGGGCCTCAGCTCTCCCACTGTCCTCCAGCTCTTGGGCTTGGTCCTGTCCATGGCGAGTGTCCCCACAAGCAATACCCTTTCCGCCCTCGCCAGCCTTCCCATCAGTTACCTCTCACTCATCCTTCTGCACTCACTTCCTGCCCTGTCCCAAGTGAGGCTCCCTTGTCACTTGGTCTCATCACACCTTATATTTGCCCTGATATCAGCCTGGTTATTTGGGCATCACTAGTTTCGTACCTTTCTCTCCCCTAGACTGGGAAGGGGACCCATCTGCTTTGCCCCCCACTGTACCCCAGCAGCTGGCATAGCACACAGCACGCTGAATGAATGAATGAATGAACCCAAATCCAAACTAGACAGAGTTCTTTCCGGAAGGGTCTGGGAGTGACCTCTGGCACTGAGAGTGGCTTTGCTTTGTGGACCCTGCCTATTTGAGCATTTCCCTCCATGCAGAGACACCCAGAGTCCGGCCCACCCAGCCCTGGACTTGCCGAGGCTCCGCCACCTGTTTTTATAATAATGTTTTACTGGGATGCAGCCTCACTCATTTGTTTATGTCTTGTCTGCATCTGCTTTCAGCTACAATGGCAGAGCTGATTGCAACAGAGACCACTTGGCTGCAAAGCCTAAAACATTCACAATGGGGCTTTAAAGAAAAAGTTGCTGAGCCCTTGTATAGAGCACGGAGCAGGACACCTACTGTGTGCTATGGGGAAAGTCGAGTAAGTGTGTCATGGTGACAAAGGGGTGGTTCAGGGTTTCGATCGGAGTGATTCTCTTATCAGCATCGATGGTCAGCATCTTCTTTAACAGGTCGATGAACTCCCGCCGGTCTGCCTTTTCCACCAGCATGTCACTCCCTTCCAAGTCTGTGGTCATGTTCACCTGGAAGCAAGGAGGACAGGTTACCAAGACCCCGCTGTGCCTCCTTGACTCCTTTCTGCTCTGCAACTCCATCCGACCTCTCAATTCCTACAGGGCGGTGTCTGCCCTTTGAAGGCACCGCCACATGTCACTGCCGCCCACAGGATGTGGCAGGGCTCTCTGCAGGAAAGGCAGAGGGAGGCCACGCATGGGGAAGGGGCGGTCGCTGCCGGTACCTGCGACATACATAAGTGACAGGATGTGCACCCTCTTGCTATAATCAGTTAAATCAAAATGCGCCTCACATCACACCTCATGGAAAAGAACCACAAGATGAAAAGAACTCTGAAGATTGGTTGTAGAACAGTGTAAATGAACTTAATACTACTGAACTGTACAGTTGAAAATGCTGAAATGGTAAATTTTGTGCTATGTTGTTTTTACCACAATTAAAAACAACCACGCAGTACAAAATAAGATGCAAAAGGTTTATGTATTTAACCTTTGGAGGGAAATGCTGGGGCCTAAGTGCCCTGCTCCTATATCTACAGTGTGTCGTCCTCTGTAGCTCCCTGAGTTAGGGCCGGATCATTTCAGTCCCTGTGTTCACTGGGTCACATCTGCTAGACAAGCAGGGTGTTTGAATAGGATTTTTCCTCCCAGATCAAGTCTCTACTAGCATAGCCTTTAAGAGACTTGTTTTGTGGTGCTTTCTACGTTTTCCAAGACATGCTCTGGAAAGCAATTTCTGTTTTCTAAGACAATCTAAGCTGCTAATCAACTGACAAGGATACTCTATTCGGCGTCATGATTTTGGGTTACACTTGTCTTCCGTAAGAGGGGTGCTGAATGTTTATTGATCTCTAGCTTTACTTCTCATGCTTTTAAGAAAAATTCACTTTGGGTTGCCCTGATTTGAGACTACTCTTTACACTAAGGATAGCTGAAGTTCTAGCACTTTCTCTGGGCACAAAAGTGAGAGCCCGTGGCCCCTCCAAGTGAGCTGAGAGAGACTGAGTGTGAAGCATGGAATTGTGTCCTTGCAAAAGAATGTTTAAGCCCTAATGCCTGGCACCTGTGAATGTGACCTTATTTGGAAAGAGAGTCTTTGCAGATGTGATCCAGTTAAAATGAGGCCAAACTGGAATAGGGTGGGCCTTAAGTCCAATGACTGGTGTCTTTAAAAGATAAAGAAGAGGGAGATTTAGATGCAGAGACCAGAGGAAACACAGGATGAAGCCATATGAAGAAGGAGACAGAGATTGGGGATGCGTTGACACTGGCTCCACCCAGGGGCCACCAGAAGCCAGCAGAGAGGCATGGGACAGTTTCTTCCCAGAGCCCTTAGAGGGAGCATGGCCAGTTGGTGCTTTGATTTGAAACTTCTAGCTTCTAGAGAACAAATGCCCATTGTCTTAAGCCCCCCAGTTTGTGGTACCTTGTTACGGCAGCCCTTAGGAACGAACACTGAGTCAAGGGCATTAAGCTCAAATGTACTAATGGGCTTAAATTCTTCTCATGAAAACGCCAGTGAGATTGGCCAGGACTATCTCGCAAATGGGAACCAATAAACTGAAGCTATTTTTCAAGAGCTGGTGTAAGGCTTTAACGATGTCCCACAAACCCATTGCTAGTCTTACTCAGGCTGGCAGGTCATGAGGTCAAGGTCAACCACGGCAGTTGAGTAATGTGGATTTCTACTCACCGCCCTATATTGCTCTTGCAGAAGCCTTGCTGTGCTTGGTTTTTAAGGGCTGACATTGCATGCTCGCCCATGGAGCTTACCTGGGCCATGTCATCTAAACAGTTGAAAATGTACTTTCTTGCTTCTTTTGACTTAATCCCCGTCTCTGCTTCATGGTCATCTGGTGTCTGGTCAAGAGAGGCAAAAGCCGATTGGTAATGTGAATTATTTCCTGGTCACTGTGACTTAAAACCACTACCCTCTGTTTCTCATGGAGGGTCTTTTCCCACCTTTTAGAGAAGGAGACTTTGATTCCTCTTAAAGTGACCTGCACATTAATTACTCTCCCTCTTCATCCTCCACACTCACTCATCTCTCTTCCTTCCTTCCCACCAACACCTGGTAGGGGCCTGCTCTGAGTCAGGTCTGGAGGATTCCAAGATGAACAAGGAATGCAGTATCCATGAAAACCCCACATTTCCCCCTACTTTAAGGGATACGGTAAGGTTCCACATGTGGAAAAGCAGAGGGCCCTTCCACACATTTTTAAAATTTAATTTAATTTTTTATCAAATGTTTATGCATATAGCTCTCCCTACGTGCCAGGCACTATTATAAAGCACATGAACTCATTTAAGACACTTTACAACCATCTTAGGCAGGATGATTACCGACCCATTTCCTGAGGGAGAAACAGGAATAGAAAGCGTAAGGAGCTTGCCAAGGTCACATGGCCAGGAGGCAGCAGTAGGCTCTGGGCTGTTCTCTGCCGCCCCTCCGTCTGGGGCCGGGCACACTCGAACAGGTCCCCATTGGCTTTGGTCTAGGCAGCCGCTGTTTCCAATGACTATGTGCTACTGTTTTTTTGTTCGTTTGTTGTGTGTGTGTGTGTGTGTGTTTTTGCTCATCCATGGATCTCAGGTAAGTAAACCTCGAAATCTCATTCCGGGACAGCACACGTGGAGCAGCTAAGATCTAGGCTTCGACCCTGGGGACAAGTAGGACCGAGGCTCTTACCTGAGATATGGACATGAAGCCTGCCCGTCTGGCCTCATTCTCCGCCACCAGGACTCTTTTTACTGGACTGACCTTGAGCCGCTCACCTCACAGCCACCAAATGCCAGCCCTCCCACCAACAGACCAAGAGTGCTCGCTTAGCTCCCAGATCCCTCTTCTAAATCTTTTGTGACTCTTGGCCACACATGACCTTTATTTTATTTATTTTTATTGAATTTATCAGGGTAACATTGGCTAATAAAATACAAGTTTCAAGAGTACATTCTATAACACATCCCCTGTGTATTGTATTCTGTGCTCACCATTCAAAGTCAAGTCTATTTCCCCTCACCCTTCTTCCCCTCTGATAATCACCATACTGTTTGTCTGTGTCTGTAAGTTTTCTTTTAAATATATATATATATATATATATATATATATTTTTTTTTTTTTTTATTGATTTCAGAGAGGAAGGGAGAGGGAGGGAGAGATAGAAACATTAATGATGAGAGACAATCATTGATTGGCTGCCTCCTGCACACTCCCTACTGGGGATCGAGCCCACAACCCCGGTATGTGCCCTTGAACGGAATTGAACCCGGGACCCTTCAGTCCGCAGGCAAACACTGTCCACTGAGCCAAACCAGCCAGGGCATGTAAGTGTTTTTCTTTTTTTGCTTAATCCCTTCACTATTTCCCCAGCTCCCAATCCCCCTCCCCTGACAGCTGCCAGTCTGTTTTCTTTTTTTTTTTTTTTTTTTTTTTTTTAATATTTTATTGATTTTTTACAGAGAGGAAGGGAGAGAGATAGAGAGTCAGAAACATCGACGAGAGAGAAACACCGATCAGCCGCCTCCTGCACATCTCCCACTGGGGACGTGCCCGCAACCCAGGCACATGCCCCCGACCGGAATCGAACCCGGGACCTTTCAGTCCGCAGGCCGACGCTCCATCCACTGAGCCAAACCGGTTCCGGCAAGTCTGTTTTCTTTATCTATGCGTCTGTTTCTGTTTTGTTTACTTTGTTCATTAGGTTCCACACATTATCTTTAAATCATATTAGAATTTGGCTGTGGTTTCTGTCAAAAACCAAACAAAATAAAAACACCCGCCCACTCTCTTGCAAAAAAGGAAGCACCTAAAATGAACATAAAACACTGAAGACTAGCATTCTTTTCTCCCTCCCAGGAAATTACGTTAATTTTTAACTACGAGGCACAGTAAAAGTGAAAGCAAAACATGTTTTTGTTGAAGCAAAACCACCCGAGTTCCTGGTGTGCAACGGTGAGTGGCAGCACCTGCCGGCTGGACCAACAGACCCTCCTTGGGGCTGCGGAGGTGTGGCTGCCGGGGCTGTTTCCTGGGCGGGAAACCCTCCTCATCCTTAGGGCCCAGCTCAAAAGCTCCTCTGGGGCCCTCGCCACAGGCAGGGTTCAAGGTCCCCACTTACATGGCACGTACATGGGGGGCACGTGCTCGGTCTCCCTCTGGGCGGGGAGCTCCTTTATGGCAGGGGGTGGTGCGTTCCTCTCTTTACACAAACCAGACAGGTCATCGGGGTTCACCTCATTAAATCCTGGGAGTTGAGCAGTCGGAGCTGGGACTTGAGCTTTGCAGGTGGCAGCAGCCAAGCAAAGTGGTGCTTTTGAACATTGAAACTCATCCACACCACCTATCACAACAGCCCTCCCCCATGGGGGCTGCTGTCAAAAGCTCCCCACGAACCGCCCCACCCTTTCCCCTGAATGCTGGGCCTTGGTGAGGGATGGAGGGGACGCTCTTCCTACCTTCAGCCTCCACAAAGGATACGGCGAGTCCGTGTCACGGTTGAAAAACCTAGTTGTCTTTGTCCCTGCGCTTAATAAATATTCAGCTGGCAAACCCTGTGTTTGTGAAATATACCGAATCTGCAAGAAAAGAGGAGAATGAGGTCAGAGCGTTTCCTGTCACCTTGCATGTGGTATAGGAATGGCTTTAGTGCCTTTGAGAAAAAGACAATGTTATAGGGAAAGAAAGAAGTGAAAAATGAAAAAGGGGAAAGAAAGAAGAACATAGAGAGAAAAGCAAGGTTGAGGGAAGCAGGGCTTGGGAGACGACATAAACCCCATAACCTCGCCCGAGTGTCCTGTCCTAAATGAACACCTGTGCGGCCTGGACCCACCTGGTCGTACTCTGAGGCGCCTGGGTAGAGCGGCCAGCCCAGGAACAGCTCCGCGATGACGCAGCCCAGGGACCACATGTCAATCGCCTCACAGAATGGTAAACCAAGGATGATCTCAGGGGCCCTAAGAAAGCAGAGTGGAAGAAAGCATTAGCAGTTTAGAAATGCAGGAGCTACTTCAACATGAACTCTACATAAAACCCTATCCGTGAACCCCCAGGGCCTGAGGTTCCCACACTGCGTGGCAGTGACGCCTCCCACCTCAGCTCGGTCCTCCCGTGAGCAGGGAGCCCGGCCCTGGCTGCTCTGTGGCTCCAGAAAAGACCCAGAGGGAACCAAACTGCTGACTCCATCACCATCCCACTCCCACCAGAGGAGCTAAGAGCCACTTCAGAGACATGCAGGAGCCTTCCTTTGTAAGAAAACTCGGGCAACCAATGTCTACAGAACACCCAGGTTTTACAAAGGAATTCTGAAATACAGGCATTCTATTTTCAATAATATATCATATAAAACAAGAGCCCTCCCCAGAATAATGGGGTAAACTATAATATTCGTCCATGCCAACAATCCCTTTCTTAGGAGTTTGTATCCCACTTTCCCTAGGAAGTACTGTTTTTTTTCATTAGCTTCTACAAAGTTCACTGTCCCTGGCAGGGTAGCTCAGTCGGTTAGAGCGTTGTCCTGATACAAGCTTGCAGGTTGGATCCCGGGTCAGGGCACCTACGAACATTAACCAATGGATGCATCAATAAGTGGAATAACAAATGGATGATTCTCCCTCTTTCTCTCTCAAATCAACAAATAAAAGTTTTTTAAAAGTTCTCTAATATCACAGTTACAGAGCCATGTTCATGGGTGCACAGTCTGATGCCAGTCAGAAGTCCACTCTCCCCCGCTGCTGTGAGGTGCGGGCTGAGCTTCTGGAGAAGGGCACCGGAGCTCAGAGAACATCTCACCCAGTCAGTCACCAGAGGCAGAGGGCACAATGCATCTTCTTTTCTAAGAATCTGCCATAAGTAGGTAGGGGTTCATTTTGGAGAAAACCAAGTTCAAAGCATGAGATACGAACGCAGCTTGTGTTTGTTTCTAAGATGTGGCTCAAGGCACTCCGCTGTTCATGACCCACATTAGCCCAACTTCTGTTTCCTCCAGAAATGTCCACCTGATGAAGCGATGAAGAAAGTGCTGCTCTCCTACCCTTCCCGCAGCGGGAGGGGGCGAGGGGGCTGGGAGGAAGGGCGTGATCAAGACCCCCTCCACTTGCCTTGCCATTGGGAGCTGATTTTCCCCACTCACAGCACCTCCCCGCCTTGCTCCTCTACATTTGCTCTCATTGCTCATCTTTTTCATCCAGATAACAGTATGAGCAACCAAAACCAAAGCGTCTTATTACAAAGTCTTGATTGTTCACATGTAAAAAGGAGTTTGTGTGCTGGGCGCTGGTAGAGAGCCACAGCCCTCGTCTGGGCTGCAAGACATGCTTTTCCCACAATGCAAGGCTGGACTTCCCAGGAGGTAGTTATTGTGGAGGCGGGTGAGCTGCCTCGGGACTCCTTCATGGTCCTGTCCTGTCCCTGTCCCCTCACTCCCGGGCATCTTTTGCCAGCACCTGGCCCCTCTCTAGTCCTGGTCTCCTGCAGTCCTGGTGGTGACCATTTGTGTGACCATGGCAGGCCGCTCCTGTCCTCTGGCACTGATGCCCGGGGGTGCCTGTGATGGTTTTAGGTCACTGCTGGTCTGTCCTGTGTCACGGGGCCTTCGATCCCACATCGGCCTCGGTCACTGTGTCCAGCGTGCCCCCACACACCAGGGCTTCCGAGCCACCTGACCATTGCATGCAATTGATGGGATTATTGCAGGCTGCCTCTAGTCATGCAGTCTCTTTAGAGATGGTTTAAAAACCCACATCCCTTAGAAAAGAAGCAGTCTCTGAAAAGAACATTAGAGAAAAGATGACACGTTTGACAAGAGGTGTCTGCCTCGCTGTGATAGAGTCAGGTGTGCCTGCCTGCTCCCTTCGCACGCAGGCTCAGGCGCCTTCCTGGGAGAAGAGTCCCGGTGTGGTGTGGAGCCCTCCTCTGCAGGCTGCTGACTCCAGAGCACGCATTTCTGCACCTGCCCCCTATTCCTGTCACCTGTGCCTTTGCCCTCGGTGGCCAGACACTCCCGTCTCCTGGTGGATCTGAAGAACAGGCTGGTCTGGTTTCATTGGGCATCTCTGGACGTGACCATGGGGCTGCTCTTCCTAGGAGGTCAATCCACTGTTCTCATGGCCCTAAGCAACCCATTTCCCAGTTTCTGTTCCCTGAGGATGTGCCAGGCAGAACCTAACAGATGAGCCTGTCTTGCAAAGGGCACCTCATAGATGTTCTCTGGCGAGAACACCAGACAAGGATTTTGTCAGCTGACGTTTCACGAACAGCGCCTGTGGAAATCACTGTTAGTCCTTTTTCCATTAGAAAATGAAAGAACAGCTGTTCGTGGTGCCAGGCTGTGTACAGGATATTTTTCTTGCCATGACCATAATGAATGAGTGTCAGGCTAGAGACAGTTGGAAGACGAGAGAAATAGAGGGCACAGTCCTGCCCCTGAGGGGCCTCAATGCTGGGAGGCAACGTGAGAACACACGTGATAACGAAAACTGAATACAAAACACACACAATGTAAACACACAACACGAAGCTAGAGCTAATTCAAGCACGTAAACCTGCTCTAGCATCTCCCTTTAAAAAAAAAAAAGCACAAACACAAGAACAAAACACACCAAAAACAAAACAAAGCCTTCCTTAATCCCTTCTTCTCCTGGCAGCTGCTGCCCTATTTCTCTGTTCTCCTTCCAAAGCCAAATCTCTAAGAGTGAACTGCCTTTTCCATGGCTTTGCCTCCCACCATCTTCTCACCTCCTCCAGTTGGGCTCCCGCCCTCTGCTCCACTCCGGTGCTGCGCTGGCCAAGATCAGCAGTGACCACGCTGTCACTTCCATCGGTCAACTTCTCAGCCCTGTGACCAAGAGCTGAATTTCTTTCACAGAGTCCACCATTCCCTCCCACACCCATCCTGCCTCTCTGTGGGTGGCCTGTCCATATTCTGTGCTGACTTGTCCTCTATCTGACTGCTACAAGACGGCAAAGTCCGAGGACCCCTTCTTTTCTCTTTTCATCCTTGCTCCAGAGATTGTCATGGGATAAATTGTGTGTCTCCCAAAAGACGTGTTGAAATCCCTTAGAACAGTGGTTTTCAACCTTCCTAATGCCGTGACCCTTTAATACAGTTCCTCATGTTGTGGTGACCCCCAACCATAAAATTATTTTCGTTGCTACTTCATAACTTGAATTTTGCTACTGTTATGAATTGTAATGTAAATATTTGATGTGCAGGATGTATTTTCATTGTTACAAACTGAACATAATTAAAGCATAGTGATTAATCACAAAAACAATATGTAATTATATATGTGTTTTTCGATTGTCTTAGGCGACCCCTGTGAAAGGGTCGTTCGACCCCCAAAGGGGTCGCGACCCACAGGTTGAGAACCGCTGCCTTAGAACATGACCTTATTTGGGAATGGGGTTACTGAACATGTAATTAGTAAGAGGATGTCTCACTGGAGTAGGCTGGGCCCCTAGTCCAATATAACTGGTGTCCTCATAAGAAGCAGGAAATCTGGGCAGAGGCACAGAGGGAAGACAGCCATGGGAGGGCGGACGCAGGGACAGGAGTCATGCTGCCACAAGTCAAGGGATATCTGGAGCCACCAGAGCTGGAAAAGGCAAGGAAGGGTCCTCCCCTACAGGCCCCAGAGGGGAGATGTCCCAGCCACCACCGTGATTTTGGACTTCTAGCCTCCAGAAAATAACTATCTGTTGCTCCAAGTCATGCATTTTGTGGAACAATTTCCATGGCCCTAGGAAACAGGTATAGTAATCGTACCCACACCCACAGGTTTAAATTCCATTTGTGTGTGTGTGTGTGGTTTTTTTTTAATATTTAAAAATATATTTTTATTGATTTCAGCGAGGAAGGAAGAGGGAGAGAGAAATAGACACATCAGTTATGAGAGAGAATAATTGATCAGCTGCCTCCTGCACATCCCCAATGGGGGATGGAGCCTGCAACCCGGCCATGTGCCCTTGACCGGAACTGAACCTGGGACCCTTCAGTCTGCAGACTGATGCTCTATCCACTGAGCCAAACCAGCTAGGGCATAAATTCCATTTGTATTTCCAAACGTCTGTATCCAACCTGAACCTTTCTCAGCTCCAGATTTATGTTCTGATGGCCTGACATCTCCACGGGAACGTCTCACAATCGGCTCAGACTTCGTGTGCTTAAGGGAGAACTCTTCCCCTGCTGCCCCTCAACATATCCCTGCCTCTGCCCTCCTGTTTCACTAAATGCAATCACCACCCTCACCGCGCCCGCCACTCATGGGGATGGTCTCTGATTCCTCTCTCTCCCCCTCCCCATCCCCACCCAATCCATCAGAAAGCCCAGCTCCGAAGTACATCTTGAATTGGCCCGTGGCCCCCCACCTCTGCTGCCACAGCTCTGGCCCTGGCCGCCCCGTCTCACCTGGAGCTTCCTACCTGGTGTTTCCTCCCTCCAGTCCACTCTCTACTAGCTGCCAGAGTGAACACGTCACATCTTCCTTGGCTTTAAGCCCTTCAAAGGGTCCCAACCCAGAAGGAAATCGAATCCCTCCCATGGCCCACAGGGACCTCCATGACCGGGACCCTGCCCAGCTCTCTGCTGTCATTTTGATTCGCTCTCCTCGTTCAAAGAGCTCCAGTCCAGTCTGTTTCCCTTCATTCTCAAGAATACCTAAGCCACTGCTGACCCAGAGCCTTCACGCGATGGTGCTGCTTCTGCCTCCAATGCTCTCTTGCTGGCTCTCAGACGGCTGCCTCCTTCCTTCTCATCCTTCAAACCTCAGCTTAATTGTCACCGCCACAGACAGGCCTCCCTCGACACCAGTCGGTTTCCATCCACACCGCCATAAATGTCACTTCCAGCACTTTCCCAATAACCTGCTTCCCCTCTCTTTCCCCTGCTAAGTCCACGAGGGCAGCACAGTGCCTGGCATTTAGTGGCCACTCAATCAATAAGGGCTCGCCGATTGAA